GACGAAGCAGAGGACGTCTATACGAGCTTTTACTGTAATTGCGATACTCGACGCCGCCTGAATCGTAAGGTTTGGCGGTCTGGGCCAACCCTTCTGGTGAAAGAGGTGGTCGACAAAAGGCCTCATGTCCCTGGATGTCCATTAAGTGTCTGCATTGATGGACAAAACAAATGGACCGCCGGGTTCTCTACAGGCCTGTTTCGAGGGCTCGTTTCAGTAGCGGTCACTATCACGACTTCCACTATTCTTGGTGCGAGTGGCTTTTCGATATCGCCGTCATTTACGTATTTCTCTATACGAAATACCAGTCCTGCTCGAGAAGCCATCCATGTGCTCGGTCAAGCTTTCAATGAGAGGAAGTGGAGCGGAAGGAATTCCCATAGCCTGATGCGGCGTGCCATCAAGACCATCCAGACCAGCTTCAGCTCCAGGACTTCATCACCGTTTGACATGGACAGCAACGGGAGGACGTTACTACATGATGTACTGATGATACAAGTCAACACTAATTCGGAAATGCCGCGAAACGAGATTTTGAAGTTTTTGGCCATGGCTGGTGTCCCGCGGGATCGCCCGGACCGACGTGGAGTGTAGGTACTTCGAACACTAGGCTTGGAGGCGCAGAGCACTGATATATTCGTAGTTACCCCTTCCAAGCCGCCTTTGGGTCGATGTTCTTCCCCCAAACTCCAACGCCAGAGACCATACAGATGCTCTGCCCAGATGATGGCCTGTTAAGTCTCGATATTCAACAGCGGAGAAGAGGTTTGCCTAACTGGTTCTTCCTGAATATCCACGCAGAAATAGTTGGTACATCTCCGAAGTATGCCGAATGTAAGATATGCTTTTCTAGAAATGTTCCAGATGATACATCTGGAATCTGGCTATCTGGGCGGAGACCTACTTATATTTGGTCTAACATTCTGTTTCATTCTAATGAGTCCTCTATCCCTGTCGTCCATGTCGTTCCAATATCTATACCTCACACTACCCCTATCCTCGCCTCTACCTACGATCTACTATGCCCACTACCCGTCTGGGTAGCCGGAGAGCTAGAAATATCCGCCAGAATTGCGAAATTGTATACCCGGAGATGACAGCTAATGATATCTAGTGTACGAGGGGCATCCATCAGAACCAATAGTCCGGCGCAATGTGCCAGCCTTAAAACACGCCTTGAATTGTAACATGTCTTTGTCGGAATTGGCTACACTCGATGCGTTCGGCAATACTTCTCTAAATCATCTACTGGCCTGGCCGGAGGGCTTCAGGCTTGTGCTCGATAGATTTGGCAGAGGAGTGTTTGATGCATCCGGCGACGCCCTCACGCTGGACTATGCATTGCTTTGGAGTGGTCGTATTTGTACCAGTGAGCGATCAACTTTGTGCCAGAGTGACTGCTCATGTACGAATGGACTTCGGCTCATTATGAACTCTGACGTCGAATGTATTGCTAAAGCCACAAGCGGAATTCTTTGGATGGTTTCCGTACTACAAGCATCCAAAAGAGCTCGCGAAATGGTCATTGGGCGCCTTAAGGATGCAAGACAGGAGTTGAAAGAGTTCGCTCTTCTGCGTTTGGCGCCTGAAGAAATCGAGAAATGGGACCTCCGGTGCTCCAAAGTCCTGGACCACCACACAGGCAGTGTGATTACCGCACTCAAACGAAGGGGACATGTCGTTCCGCGTACGCTGGCAACCCATCCAGAACCTACGGAAGCCGAACTGTGGTCAGTCTATCTCAGTCTGGCTTGTTATCATTTAGACGCAGCGCCGGTGGCAGAAACATTCTATCGACATGGTTTCTGTGATGTAGACTTGCCAGACTCAAGCGGCTACACCCCGATAGCGTATGCGTCAAACCCCGGATATGTAGCGTGGTTGATTCAACATGGAGCAAAGCTCCATCTTCGTATTCCGAAGACAGTTGAAGGGCATGTCGTCGCGCACGACGTGTCCGCACACATGATTGGATTGTTTGAGTCAACGACTGCGCAAGCATTCAAGACGATCTTTATATCTATGTGTGAACACTGGTATCTTGATGCATGTGTCTGTGGTTGTTCAAGAGGAGGATGCAACCCATTTACGGGTACGTGGATGAGACTGTTCCGCCGGATCATTCCCACCGACCAACATAAATCACCAGCGCATCTTCAATCAACAACTGAAAATATCTGCAGTATTACAGCCAAAGCTGAGTCAATAAAAATGGACTCAGTAGTATTCAGCTTAGCTTGTTTGCGGGCATGCACGTTTGAACTGCTGCCTTTAGCACACACGTGCTGCCGCAGCTATCATGAGTACGGTGAGTTGAGTGTTCAGGCACACGATACAGAAGACAGGCTTGAGATAAGGGATGAGGACGCTTTGGAACTCCACAGGCTAGAGACTCTGATTGAAGAGTTCGAGAAAGAGTTTGCCAAAATGGGATCTTCGCTGACCACGTTCATGCAAACATATTGGTCAGAACGAATGGGTACCGTGCTCCGCGAGCTTCAGGATCACCGACTCAGCGAAAACGAGATTCAGAACATTGAGATGTTGGGTGTGTGTCTTCAGACCCAAGATCAGACGAGCAGGGAGGACGAAGTCAAGGACGATCTTTCTCAACTGGATTATTGGTACCGAAAGCTTGACGCATTGGTTTAACGACAGGTTATGTGGTACCGCTTTTATTATTGTACTGAAATACATGGCTATCAGAATGTGAACCGATCTGAAGAGATGTAACCTTCATCCATTGGTATTGTCTCTCTCTCCATCTGTTCCGGAGGTGCAGTTGATTTGCAAGAGGTTGTTATCCAGATTCTTGCACTCATACACAGGAGGCTTTCCGCTCGGCACGGTGACTGTGACGTTTTCGGCGCGAATGTTGCTGCAACGCTGCATGATCGGGTATCAAGTCAGTGCCTACCCGAGACTGTGATGTAAATGCTCAATGATCTGGGTTAACTTACGTCTGAGGCACTGCAAACTAACGTCCCGGCCTGGGGATCAAGCTTTGCTGAGGTCGTGCCGTAAATGTTCTTGAGCGTGATATCGGTGATGGTCAGGTTGGCCTTTGGAGAAATCCTGGCTTAGCACGTAACTTCAAGCATACGTCAATGCAAGTAAATGAAGCTTACCGGGTGCTCTTCGCAAAGAGTCTGGTTCTTCTGGCCATAGCATTGGGTGATTGTAATGGCACGATCATTGTTGATGTTCTTGAACAGATCATACGTAACGTTTCTGACACGACCGAGACCACCACCTCCGTTGAGGAGAGTCTGGAAGGATGACTCGATTCCTGGCCAAACTTTGATGCGGGCAGCATCGCTAGCGTCAGCCATGGTGATGTTGTAGATGTAGAGGTTCTCGACAATATCAGTCTCGCCCTTGTATTGACCGAGAGATCCAACGCTGATGCCGTGTGACCCGGTGCAGTCAAGGTTCTGGATGACGACGTTCGTGCTGTTCGGCTTGAAAGACACGCAGTCTAGAGAGGATCAGTCGCGTTCCCAAATTTCAGTAACCTGAGAACCCACCGTCGGTGTTGATGATGTACGAGTCCTGAATGACAACTCGATCGGAGCGATACGTGTCCCATCCGTCTGAGTTGGCGATCTTGGTGCCGTTTGTGCTCTGTATGGATGTTAGGAATGCAGATAAAACTGTGAAAGGCTTGCTACAAACCTCTGCTCTCAGATCCATGTTGCTGATGAGAACATCAGTGCTGTTCGCTATCAGGTTGAACCACTGCATATTTCGGTCATTAGTGTTTAAGAGAGAACATCTTTCGGGACTTACGTTCGGCGGATTGCGCATGCGAAGGTGGGACATCGTGGCTCCCTTGACTCCCTCGAAAGAGAACAGCATGGGCCTCAGAAGCTAGAACCGAACAAAGTCAGCCAAATGACTATTGAGATACTTCTCCATACTCCAAGTAACCACTTACACTGCTGTTCGTCTGGATCGCGACCCAGTAAGCTTGGCCACGACCATCAATGACAGACTGATCATTGCTCAAATCACCGTAGATGTTGATGTCCTCTCCTCCAAGCTTCCAGAAGACTGACTGATTCTGGAAGGCGAACTTGAAGCTGTTGTCGGCCCAGTAATAAGGGTCATCGTTGAACTCAATGGATCCGGTTATGACCACGTCGATGTGCTTCAAGAAGGTAAGATCCAGTGGCGAGCCGATGAGGTAGGACTTGTCGAAGACAACGGTGCCACCGTCGTTGCACTTTTTGAAAGCGTCTAAGATCTTGGGCGCATCGTCTCGCTTCTCTCCACAGCCAGGCTTGACGTAACAGTACCGGCCCTTCTCTCTGGGAGGAGAGTGAGGCATGTCCCGTCCGGTGTTGTAGGGAGCTGGCACAACATGAGGACGTTCGGGAAGGCTCGGCTTCGGCGAGGCAACTGATGCGGCGGAAGACACCGGTAGCAGCGCAGTGGCCGCGGCCAGAAGGCTCAGTACAAGAGAACGCATGGCTGCAACCGTTCAGCAGCAGATGGGGAGATTGAGGTGAACAACGCGACGACCACCACGCATCGCTCGTTATTCATCTGAAGTTTCCATCTTCATATATAACAAGTACTCGGAAATTATCCAACTCTAATTAGGTTTAGGTAAGGTACCACGCCCAGAGAATCATAACATCATCTGTTAATGTTCAGCGCAACGATACGCGGAAGATTTGTGGGGTCATGTAAAGGTTGTTCGGTTCTGTCGGTGAAAATTCTCGCGGAGCAGGGGCAATCTTTTCTGCTCAATCTTCCGCCCACGGCGACCTGCTCCCCCGTTCTGACTGTTGGTCGAACTGGTTAAAATGCCCTGCGGCTGAATCCTGGGACCACGCGGCCCCGCATGTCCAACCCCGCGCGATGGGGGAGTGAGATGCGGAGAAGCTTACTGAGGGGGGAATGGATAAGCGTGTGGCCACTGAGGGTTTTCCGCTTGATGAGCCGAAATTAGTGTTGAGGAGTGTTCATGAAGCATCCTTCCCAAGCTACCGGGATCATGCTTCTTTGTGGGTTTGTCGGTGTGAAAGGGTCGCTCGCACACCCTTGGTGTCGAGGTCCCCGACTGCGACGAAGAAGTCGTGTTTACAAACAACGTCGTCGAGTGTTGTTTCAAACATTTCCCAGTCGAATCTGCGAATGACCGTCGCCGTGGCCAGATACAACTCAGCATAGGCAAGACTGAGAGCGGTGTCAGTGGAAACCCCCTCGAAGATGTTTGTCATGGAAGGGTTCGGCTTACTTCATGCCAAGACACTGCCGACTACCTTTTCCGAATGATACGAGGTACTTGTCTAGCCTCTTGCCCCGTTTCTCCGCTTCCAACCACCTCTCGGGCTTAAAAGTCTGAGGCTCCGGGAAAATTGTCGGGTGCATCAAGACGAAGTATGGGGTTTCTGATACGGGTGTCTGCGATGCGATTAGTGGTTGGCGGGGCAGGTGTGGTGATCCGGGGCAGTAGCTTACCCCTGCCGGAATGACATGTTCACCATACTGGATGTCGTGGTGGGCGATGCGTGGTAGACGAGTCGTAACTCCATATGAAAGTCGAAGTCCTTCACGAATGACGGAGTTCTGTAGAGAATCAATGAGAAACAAGGCATATGTTTTGCACGATGCGAAACCCACCAGATAATGGAGCTTCTGTAAGTCAGCCCAACACAGAATCTCCGTGGCTCTTGGCATCGCCGCATCAATTTCTTCTCGTAGCCTTTTCAGTGTATCGGGCACATACTTCAGATAAAAGAGGATTCGAGTAAGGGTTTGGGCTGTTGTCTCAGACCCTGCGCCAGTCAAAATCTCCGCCTCGTCGCACAACCTCTGCAAGGTCTTCTCTTCTGGGGGCAAGTCGCTGTCGCGCAGCATATGAAAGATGGTTCTCGAAGCAGCCCCAGGCTGGCTGTCCTTTCCGTCTAAGATTGGCTCAACTTGTTGTTTAACACCCGCTTGCCAGCGAAGTAGATGGCCAACTGATGGGTTCATCGCAGAAACAACTGACAAGGGCAGTCTTTTCATGACCGGCAACATCCAGGGAAATTGGCGACCGACAGCCCCGCCTTCAAACGCCCCGATGATGGTCTCTTTCCATATCATTTTGAAGTCAGGTTCATCCAGATACTTCCGATCATTAGCAAAGGCGTAATCGCATATGATGTCCATCGTCAGCGCCATGAACGCGGCATCAAGACGGACCACTTCGCCCGTCTGCGCGATCTCGCCAAACCTCGCCGAGAGCTTCTCCACCTTGGACCGGATCAGCGGCTCCAGTTGGGTCACGGAGCGGACCGAGAAGAATGGATTCAGAGCCCCGCGGCGCAGCCGGTGCAGATCATGCGGCACAGTCGAGAACGAGCTGCCGTCCGCGCCGGCGAGATTGGTCCACCACCGATACTTGTCGGACTTCCTGTTAGATGAGTAGAGTTCATCGTAGAACTCAGGATCAATGATGTGCAGCTCATATGGGTTGATTCTGACAATGGGCCCTGTGCCGTGTTAGAAGGTGACACAATGACTCGGGGGGGGGCTTTAGGGGTTCTTCTACTGACCGTATTTCTTGTGCATGTCCTCGATGCGCCAGATGAAGGTCCCTCGCTTAACCACGTCCCAGTAAAACTCATTCCACAACGTCAACGCTGCAAATTTGGGCCCTGGAAATTTGGACAGTGGTGAAAAGAAGACCCTTCGAATCGCGCTGATCACGAAAACCAGCAAAGGACCAGCTCCAAACAGGAGGAGAATTACGCTCCAATCCATCATCTTCCAATTGTGGTCCAAATATGACAGGCAAGGGATGCTGCAGGATACTGGATCACTGTCCTCGCAAGGTGACCAGTGAGATTTTGAACAGTCCAAGACCTGGTGTCGATGACCCCGCTACCTGGTTGAGGGATGGCGTGACCCCGCGAAAAATCATTGAATTCCAGCGGTGAAAACGCCATTATTTAAGTACCATGTGACTGGCAAGACGCTATCGAGCCGCCATTCCTGATTCCTCTCAGTTGATACCGCTAGCAGGGTCCAGCGTGGAGCAGAACAAAACCTTCTTAGACGCTCCCAGCATATCGATTGGTTGCAGTCGGCAATGGCACGAGTGACGGAGGAAGCATTCAGCAGACGACTTTCCATCACCATTTTGATCCCGCTCGATGCTCCAATGCCCTCCCTGGGAGAAGCTGATGGCGTGTCAGCAGTTGTCATCCAATCATCACAAGCGTTATCTTCGTGTCGTGTTCCCTGACGCCACATCGCGAGGCCCCGTTGATCCTTTCGGCCCCGAAGACCGCCAGAAAACGATGTCACCTCCCTGATCTCAGGTCCCCACGAAGTCAGCATTTTCCCCTCCTTGCCACTTGTTGTGAATGTCAGTAGCTGCGTACTGTTTTTCCCCTTTACCTGAGCCAAGCTATTGAATCTACAGGCCAAGATCGACAAGTTAGGTGTCGTCTAGTCGAGCTACTGAACGGCCATTTAGCAGCATTTGGGTATCCGGCTCATTCGATCATGACCTCCACAACAGACGAACCCTTACGGGCCACCGACGCCGCCGGCTCTCCGAAGTCAATCAAGTCGGCGGGGTCCCGTACCGGCACACGCTCCCCGCGATCGCCTCCGCAAGCTTCAGGGCCCGGGTCCCCTGCTGGAGCTGCTGGAACAAATGAAGCTGTCGAAGCAGAAGACACTCATCCTGAGTTAGAAGCTGAAGTGCGCTATGTTTACTTCTAATTAGGGTTGCGACCAAACTGACGAGTTTCACTTTGCAGTCTGATCTTGGAAGCGACACCGCTTCCAACTATGCCAGTGACGTTTCCGATACCTCGAGTGCGACATCTTCGATCTTTGACTACGAATATGAAAATGGGCGTCGGTACCACGCATACCGAGCGGGACAATATCTCTTGCCCAATGATGAGACCGAGCAGGAACGCCTTGACATGACACATCATGTCTTCTTATTGACTCTGAAAGGCGAGCTTTGTGCAACTCACTTGAATAATCCCCAAAAGATCCTCGATATTGGCACCGGCACTGGTATTTGGGTTTGTCTTTCAAGACACCGGAAATCCCACAGTTTGACTAACTTGAAACTCTCAGGCTATTGAGATTGGCGACGCGTTCCCTTCAGCGGAGGTTACTGGAACGGACTTGAGTCCGATTCAACCGATTTGGTGAGTTGCGGCGCTATCGATGGCTGGATCTCCTGTCTTATGTCGATAGGGTTCCACCAAATGTGCGCTTCGAGATTGACGACGCCACCCTAGAGTGGACATTTCCGAAGAATCATTTCGACTTCATCCACGTGCGTACTCTTGCTGGCGCGGTGCAAAACTGGCCAGCTCTCATCCACCAATGCTATGAACACATCAAGCCGGGAGGCAGCATCGAGATCTCGGAAGGCAGAGCCAATTTCTTCTGCGAGGACGACACTCTCAAGGGGGACTCGGCAACATGGCAGTGGCTTAGCGAGTTCAGGAAGCTGAGCGCCCCGCTGGGTTTTGACATTGCCCCTGCACTTCCTGACATGCTAAAAGGCGAAGGCTTTGAGACCGTGAATTACATGCAGAGAGTCGTCCCCATGGGTACTTGGCCCAAAAACCGAGAGCTGAAGGAAATTGGCCGGTGGTTCAGAGTCCAGTTCCTGGAGATGGCTTTGGAAGCATACACTCTTGCCTTGTTTACCCGTGCCGGTAACTGGAAGAACGAAGAAGTTCAGGTTCTACTGGCTCTGGTGAGAGAAGAGCTCAAGTCGGATAAGATACACTTGTACACCTACACGTAAGGCTTCCTTCCTTGATTACACCGAGACGACGCTGACCGAAAAAGTGCCTTCGTCACCGGAAAGAAACCTTTAATTGCCGCATAATCTCTAAGGAACAGGCAAGACCGATCACAGTTCTCAATGAAAGACATGCGGACATATCCTGCATAATTTTAGCGATGTTTATTTTAGAGACCGCCTATTTTTCCTGTGCTAGGGCGATTATCTTTCCTGTGGCTATACTCTAATCACTCCGCCACCGTTGACGCCGTCGCCGTCGTCTTCGTCGCTTCTATTGTTATCATCGTCATAGTCGCCCTCATGGACGCTGTCGCTACTATCGCTTTTGATAGTAGTAATTAAGTGCACAGGAAACATAGCCGCGCAGGCACAGGAAAATTAGGCGATCTCTTATTTTATCAAGTGATTAAAAAATATCAGGCGGTCCTAGCTTTCGGGCATACCGTAGTCCAAAGTCTCGTTGCCGTTCAACGGCACAACAAATGAAAATTCGATTCTTGGAGTTGGGTATCAGTCAGACAAAAGAAACCACCTGTTTAGCTGCTCTTCTAGCCCCAAACACTCAATTCAATCTCTTGTATCCATTAGGGTCACTGGCCCAAGCAACCATAACTTCAAAAAAGATCCACCGCAATGAATAAAGATCAGCCATCACTGCGCTGCATCCGATAACAGAAGAGTCTTGAGAACCCGATAATTGGGTCGCGAAACCATTGGCCAGCATGAAGCCAGCGTAACGTATCAAAAGGATTAGAGCCACGGCTCAGCGGTCAGGTTGAGTCCACCGTGCTTGATAATACGGATTTGGCGCTGGCCGCTCTGTACGGGGAGGGCCGTTGACCTTAACCCTTGGTCTCTTCGGTCCGAATTTGACGGCAGGCTCTTGCCAGCCCTTCTTTTGTGTCCGCCTAGGACCATGCTCGTTTACAACCCAGGGCTCATGCTCATTCACTGTGAATGGCGGCCGGGCCGGTGTCGTAGGATAAGGCGGATAAGGCATCGGTGGGCGACGAGGTCTTCTGGCGGGCCTTCTGTTCCAGGGGAAGAACGCAGGAGGCGGTGGTCGCGGTGGCGGCGTTTTGACTGAGTACTCAGAATATGTAGTCGTTGTCTCATCGTCGTACATGCCAGTGTATGATATATGTCTTGGTTTCGGACGATTCATGAGGCAATAACAGACGATCAAAAGGATGGTAACGACGCCGACGATGCCACCCAAGATCGCGCCAATTTGGGCGCTTGATAGAGACCCGCTTCCCCGGCTCGGGGGCGGCGCCTCCGCCGTCGGGGTTGTGGCGACCGGTGTTTCCGGGATATCAGCGCCGGGAACCGGAGTGGGGTCTCCGGGGCCGAGCGTGACGTATGTGAGAAAGGTGGTTGCCGGCCGTCGAATGGTTTGTGTAATCACGTGGACGCCTTCCTCGTCCTGTTGTCGGGCAGCAAGACCGAGGAGGCCGCCGATGGGCTGCGAGATCGGAGTAGGGTAGATATGCATGCTGACGAAATCACATCAGGTTGGCTGATGAGCTGCCGTCTCTCTTAAGTCAGGTACCGAAAGGCAAAAACGAAGCGACGAACTGGGCCAACGCAGAGGCGGGACAGATTGACACATGGATGAACACCAGCCTGAAAGCCACGAAAGAAAGGAGAAAGTGCAAAAGCTCGTCTTCTTATTCACAACGAAGCTTCAAGCAGGCTGTGGTCCGCGGCCTGACTAGCTTCTCATCCATCTCACCCTGGCGTAGTGTCCGCACTGCCTGCTGGCTGCCTGCCAAGGCACAACCAACTCACACGTTCTATCGCCAGACTTGCTTTGCAGTAAGGCACACACGAACGCGCGACTCCCCACGAACGGGCTGCAAGTATTACTGCAGCGCGACACACCCCTCAAGGCCCGAAGCGCACTGGGCGAAAGACACAACCAAGACGCGACTAACCTTGTTTTGACACCCCTACTACCCCATAGCCGAAGCATCGATGTTGCACAGCTTGCGCCTGACACATCCGGGCCAGCTGCAAAGACAACATGCGGGCCATCAAGGCTGGCCAACGGGAGACCGACAGCGTGGTGTCATAAGCTCGCAAGTGTGCCCACATGATTTTCTGCCAGTCAACATTTTGCGATAAAAAAAACTGGAAACCTGAGTGATCATGAGCAGATCCACCAATCGCGCGAGATGGTTGGGCTGAGCTGCATGGCTTTGGGGGCACAAACGAGCCAATACGGCGGAGTTGCGGACAACCACCAGCAAGTACCGCGCAGAAAGTCCATCGTAAACACACCCACACGGGGTGCGGCCCGTCTCTCTGGTTCCATGGTGTGCGGATACCATGGATGGGCAGAGTGCTCATGTGGTTAAGTACGAGTGAGACAGGTGTATATCAACCACGACGACTTCTTAGTTGCTGACCCTCCTTCGCATGTGCGAATTTGGCCCCCAACAAGTCGATGTCGGACGGATAACACGGGCATTAGTGCTCATCATGCAGGCAGCAACACGTTTGCTCGGTTCTTGGTGTTGTTTGTTGTTATCATCACCGTCACTGCTGGTTGGATGACAAATTCATGAACAGAATCCCGACGAAGTTAATTTGCTACCTCAACGGGTGACGCGATGCCGGCCTCATCGCTACCAATTTCCAGGTGTCGTCACGTCCTTGATCGTGCTCGATCGATCCCCTGCACCCGCGAACCCAAGGCGTCATTTTTTCCAAACTCCCCCGAAGAACTCCCGCCTGATATTATAAAAATGCCCCAAATAGGAAAATAATAGTACCTGAACGAAATTACATCGTGCCATGTTGTGTTTTGTTGATGTCGGTGGTGGTGCCAGGAAGCAGCGCTGCGCGGCGCGCGGAGAGGCCGGAAGAGTTTTTTTTGTCCGCGGTTCAAAATGACCAAAGAGTAACAAGAATTGCGTTCGATCATTGGGGCCAGGCGAGCGAACTTCAAACTTCTCTGACAGAGTATCATTGGCAGCATCTGTTGAATCTCGAGTCAGCGCCTTGCTTCTCTCATGTGTTTCGTTTCGTCGCAGTGCGCCGCCCAACGACACGAGCAGGAGAATGACTTACTTATACTTCGATCGGACTTTAGAAAGATTATGCGACGGCTCTCCCGCAAGAAAACACACAAAATACACGGTCCCCTTACTCTGCTGCTGCGCGGTTGGGTTGCGCGGCAGCCGTCGGGTTGTTGTCGACAATGATACCGACGCCGGCTCCACCCTCTCCGTTTCCGAGTTGCACCTTGGGGCCCTTGGTGAGAGCGGCCTCAGCAAAGGTGAGGGCGCGGTCGAAGCCGTTGGCCTGGCGCTTTTGCACCTTCTTGACATCACGTCCGGCCACAATGCCGGTTCCTGGGGCTCCGGCGGCGGCAGCTGCAGCGGCTGCTGCACCCTCTCCGCCGGCGGCGCCCTCCTTCTTTCCACCGCCAGTTCCCTTGCCAGTTGTTCCCTTGCCTCCGCCGGCAGCGCCGCCTTCGGCTCCTCCAGAGAATGTGAGCGCACCATCACCGACCACCAAGGCAGGCGAGTAGGCACCGAGGTTGATGTTCAATGGGGCGGGGGCGGCGTTGACTCCCATGGCAAGAAGAGCCAGGGTCATGAGGGCGTTGGTGATCTGCATGTTGGCGGGAGGATTGGAAGGATTCGGATAATAAGAGGTATACAGTTGATTTGTCGGCGCAGCCGTTGGTATCTTTCTTTCCCCAAGAGGATTATTAAGGTAGTATTGAATGAAAAGGTTTTTCCGTCAAGGAGATTGAGAAACGAACAGCACAGCTGAGATAGAGGAAAAGAGAACAAAGCAGGCAAAAGCACACGCGTCAACGAGTGGCAAGGCAGCGGGAGGAAGAGCGTAATGAATGAAATCTCCACGACATGCCAAGAGGTGATTCAAATACTAGACATGAACGGAGTCAGGTTCGTGGAGTCGCATCGAGAGAGTGTGATGGATGGCGGGAGGAGAGAAAAACTGACAGGCCTGCTCATCCAGAGCTGCGACGGCATCATGCGTGTCAAGACCTGTGGGTGCCAAGACCAAGCGGCTCTTGCAAAAATAGAAGCTCGGTGCAGGGTGCCTAGTGAGAAGAGATGATAGGTCCAGGGCGATCTTAGCATCTGGCACCCGGGCTCAGAGTAAATGGGGGCAAAAGAGCCGCGTCTTGCCAGGGACCAATGTGGTATTGTTGGTAGGCATGTTGCGACGGGGAAGAGTGTCTGAGCGGAGGTGAAACAACCCAAGTCCCAAGACTGCCAGCGACGGGGGCACCCCGAAACCGTACAAACTCTTGGCAAAAGATCTCGAGGTGCTCATTGCTCACCGAGGTTCAGCTCTTCAGGTGGTTTACTGCAAAACCTCTCTCTGATGGCTTCCGTTTCTGGTGAGTTGTAAAGATAGATGAAGCCGCGACGTTTTGAAATGTGGGCACGCGGGGGTCCAACTAGGGACGAGATCTGCGACCCTGTCACATATCAACGGCTGCAGCACCGTTTTGGCTATTGAATGTCCGGAGGCAGATTCCTGGTGAATTGCATTTTCCGGGAAGCAATATAGCTCGTGAGACTTGGCCAAGCCTTTCCTGAAGCCAAGAGCGTTTCCCAAGAGATGGCCCGGTGCATCGATCGGATTCCCAAGGCCACTCCAAGACTTCCAAGAGATCTCTTGCGCTCCCACTGCTACAGTGAATGAGTTTTTCGCCTGTCATTTAGATTAATACAGTACGAGGGTATGCTTTCCCCTTCCCGAAAGTTGTTTCCCCGGTGCTGCTAACATGAGGGATTGATTGGCCCGGGATGTTTCTACACGGCCGCTATGGAAACCTACTCGTACACCGACCCGGGCCGACGGAGTCAGCGAACGCACATGCTGAGCCGGGTTGGTTCTTCGGAGCAAAGACTGGCAGCGCCGATCCGACATGACACGGATCAGGACGAAATAGTAGAACGTTCCGCTATGTGCAAAGGAGGGATTTGAAGCAAACGAGCAAGCTAGCGGCCCTTGTCTTACGTGACACTCTAGAGTGTGCATTGACTGAGCGCTAATAAGGGACAATGTCGCTGATCCTGTCTGGACAATTGCCCCGGAGTGCTATCGGGGCCCTCCCCTGTCTGTCCTTGTAACGGGCGGGTTACCGACGGCAGAAACACATTTTGAAGTGGAACCCCAGTGCCGCAATCTGAAACCCCCGAATGAAAACACCATTTACAGGCAGCTTCCAGGTTTTTCAGAGCTCAAGCTGACTGAGTCGTTATTTGTATGCAGCCAATGGCCTGCTCTGATTAGGGGTAAGAGTCGTGCAACTATGCAATATGGCATGTTGTGTGCAGCTTAGTGAGCAGCACGACGTCAACTGATGCAGTGTAAGACGCCTGCAGAAAAGACTCTGAATAAGTTCCAGAAGAGCCTCAAGATTCAGCAAAAATGTTCACATGCGCTTTTCATTTCAAACGGGGTTGCTTGGTCTGATAATTCATCAACTCTAAACGTAATTGTCTATGCTAAAATTCATGGTTATCTCGCGGATGTTGCGCTGCCCACATCTCCGTCGGTCTGGGTGCTGTATTCACCTGAACCACGACACCTCCCTGGATGGTTGTCATTTTGACTAGCCCGGTCTAGGTGGGACGCAATCACCCATGGCGACGTCTTGATAATCAATCGGAGTGGCGAACTTGGTCAATCTCTCCTTTATCCCCAGGCCGTCCGTCAAATTCCAGACTCAGATGCGTCTGGCCAGGCTAGGCATCCACAATTGAGCTAACGTTTCACATGAACCAGTTGGCGAGAAGAGAAAAAATAGCTGCAACCAGTTTCAAGACTGATGTTCGGACCTCCTACAATCCGGGACAATGGGCATGCCTATCAGGTGCTCCTCATCCCACGTGCTGGCATGGCGACATCAAGCAAGACATCGACGCCATTTGCCAATGTCATTGGCATGTTCATCCAACCTCCACGTCGATTGAAATTCTCCATGTCATTAATGATACACCAACCTGAAAGTTGCGATGATAACATGTTATCGACAACGTGAGGAATTGTGCCTCCCATGTCCACTAAGCACCTAGAGACCTGGGCACCTTTTGCACGAAAAGCAATGGTATTGATCAATCTGTTCTGCCGGTCCCAAGTCTATGATGAATTACACAAAAGAAACCCCTGGTCTCGTCTTCTCTCTGCCTCAACATACAGGATTTAACAACTCCCTACACCTCCCTCTTGCGGTCAGGAATGATAGCCTTGGCACTCTGTGGAGGGCTAAACTTTTGAGGTTGTAGGTTCGTGTACTTCCGATAAACCTCGGGATCCCTCACCACATCGGCCAAAACATCAAGAAACTTCTGCAACTCTGGCACCTCGACATAGTTGCTGCAGTCTCTCTCATCCTGTCGCGCCGCATCCACCGCCGGAGTCCACTTCACCATCGCCTGCTGGTCATTCACAATCTCGCGGACAAGCTTCCTGCTCAGTCTCTCGATACGCTTGATCCGACAAATCTTGCAGCAGCTCGGATTCGCACCGCCTTCGGGTATCGTGAGAGGAACCTTGCCCATTTCGTCCATGTTCCTGGGCATCGGATGCCCAACCCTTCCCGGAGCCAGACAGCTCTGGCCACAATTCGGGTACTTTCCAAGAGGCTCCTTGCAAATAGGACACTGTGGCTTGCGCCCGTTTGGATTGCTGCGGCGGCCGTCGACGTTGGCGCAGATACGGATGCAACACTCCATGCACAACATATGCCCACAGTGCAAGATCTTGGCCAGGTTCCGGCTGGTGCTCTCAACAGCCCTCATTGACGTCGCGCAGACGGGGCAGACCACCGTGAAGTTGTCGAGTGCCGCGTCTGAGGTGAGGTTCTGTCGGAGTTCTGGCCAGAACACGTTCCCCTCGGGTCCGGCATTTACCGTCGAGGCGGATTCCCGCCTTGCTGGACTCCTTGAACCCATTCCGCTAGATGGCCGTACGGTCCGGCTAGAGATGAGTTAGCCTGGTCCTGCAAAGTAGATATTGGACGTACCTGTAGAAGATGACTGACGACTGCTGCCCGACGCAACAGAACCGGATCGACTGCGTGAAGATCGCCTAGAACTACTAGATCTGTGAGAACTTGAAGAATGCCCAGATGCGACGGACCCCCCGGCCGTAGAACCCCCAGCGACGGACCCGGCGACGGACCCGGCAACGGAACCCCTGGGACGGGATCCGGCCATTGAGATTGAATCATCTTCAATGACTGTCCGTCCACCATCCCAGAGTGAGCCTGCAATGGACTCGGGTCCTCGGAGCATAGAGGGTGCGATCGACGGTGCTGCGGATCCAGCAACAGAGCCCGCGACGGAGCCTCGACGTGATCCGGCTCTGGAGCCGCCTGATCTCGAGCCTCCGGACCTGGAAGGGGAATATCGGACTGTGGAAGGAGCGACGGAGCTGGAGCCAGTGACAGACCCATATTGTGATCCAGCGATAGATCCATACTGCGATCCGGCGACAGACCCATACTGCGTTCCAGCGACAGACCCATACTGTGATGCAGTGCCAGAAACATACTGTGGTGCAGTGCCGGAACTATAATACGGCGGCGTAGCAGTAGGGACTCGATCACGGGGATATCCGTCTCGGTCGAGGTGCTTTACCTCGAAAGGAGGCACTCCAGGAACCCCTGGATGCATATAGGTACCACCTCTACTTGGCTGTGACATCATGTACGCATCGTAAGCGCGTTCCTCCTCGGTACTACTTTGATCGCTACAGACAGTCATAGTACTCGGGCCGTTGACGTAGATGACATCAGATCGACTAGAAGTTGTCGACTGGGGACCCTGAGTAGCCCCGCTGGAAGATTGGGCGTGTTCGAGATTGAGGGCGCCGAGCGCGGCAGCGAACTGGTCAATGGACAATCCAGCGATGGATTGAGACGATCCAGGGCGAGAACTTGAGCCGCTGTGTCCACTGTATCCAGAGTATCCTGTCATGCCGGATGCAACTGAGGTGGGCGCTCGGTGAGAGTGAGATGAGCTTGGGCGTTGGGTGCTTGCCGAGCTGTAATGAGAGCCGACGCCAGACGCAACGGATGGTGCCCGCTGAGTGCTGGCTGAGCTGTAATGAGAACCAATACCAGATGCCACCGACGGTGCTCGATTAGAATGAGAAGAGCTTGGGCGTTGAGTGGTGACTGAGCTGTAGTGAGAGCCAACACCAGAGGCTACCGAAGGTGCTCGATTAGAGTGGGACGAGCTCGGCCGCAGGGTGCTCGCTGAGCTGTAATGAGAGCCAGCACCAGATGCAACGGAGGGTGCACCTGACGCTGAGCTGTAATGCGAGCTGTACGCAGACGCGACGGATGGTGCTCGATTCGAGTGTGAAGAGCTGGGCCGTTGAGTGCTGGCTAAGCTATACTGAGAGCCATGGCCAGATGCTACCGACGGTGCTCGATTTGAGTGAGATGAGCCTGGGCGCTGCGTGCTTGTTGAGCTGTAATGAGAGCTGTGACCAGATGCAACTGATGGCGCTCCTGCTGTCGAGCTGTAATGCGAGCTGTATCCGGATACGACCGAGGGCGCCCCGGCGGCAGGCGTAGAGTATCCGCTATGATGAGATCCATGGCCAGATGCAACGGACTGTGCTCCTGATGTCGAGCTGTAATGAGAGCTGTATCCTGATGCAACAGATGCGGGGGCCGGAACACGTCGAGAACCGCTGCTGTAATGAGAGCTGGAGGCCGATGCGACCGAAGCTGGTGGCGGAACAGACCGAGGAGGGTTCGAAGGAGTAGCTCCGGTGTTCCCCGGCAAGGGTTTCCAACCCGGAGGAAAGACACCTCCCGGGCAGAGGTGTTGATATTTCAGTGCAGTTGCCTCCGGCAAGGGTCGCGGGTCTTGGGGGCAGCCGGGATACCATCCAGGGGGTTGGGAAGCCATACTGAGAAGGGAAACTTACTGTGTTTTGGTTGAGGAGGTCGAGTTGAATTGTGGTTTGATACTGTTGTTGTGTCTTGAGTCGGCGAATTCGATGTTTTGTAGTTGAGTGACGAGTTGTTGACTGAAGTCTCAGCCTAGAACTGCGTCGCTTTAATATTCTCTTGAAGTCGAGAAGACTCACCTTTGTGCCAGCAGTTGCCTCGATAAATTTGACTCCCTTCATTTTCCATTAGACTGGAGTTCTTTGTTGTTGATGGCATTTTCGTCTTCTTTTGCCTGAAATAATAATCTTCAATGCAATGCATCCAGGTAACAGTCCACGATAGAACATATTGTCCTCGAATAGAAATTGCCCGACCGAAGCCAGGGGGTATCTGTCATAATTGCACAGAAACCCATCCTCTTCCGGAAAGGGTCCCATTCGTTCTTGCAGATTGTTTGCCTCTCCCTCATTTGTTTCTTTCAGCCTGGGATGATAGAAGATACACAGGCAACTCCTTTAGTGCCGGGCCGCGGGTCTTTGAGACTGGAAGCTGAGCTGGTCTCACAAATCCGGAAGCCTCCAGGGCTCTTCGAAGCATCTGCACCCACTTGATTCTTGTCTCTCAAATTCTTCCAGGCTATTGACTACTACCCACCAGGCACATGTTTCTTCGGAATACATCGTGGGTTCCAGAGACCCATCATGATGCTGTTTATCGGGGCGGTCCCCCATTTTGCCAAGGGTTGGGGCGAGAACAGGCGGGTCGTGCCACCAATTCTTGGAAGGCGATTCCAAGACATTGGCGCACACTCGCCAGAGTTTCGTTTTCTCAGACGCACACCAAAACAATGGGAAATCGGATGCCAAATCCCTTGGCCGTACCACAAAACCCCAGCTTTCAGGTTTCCTAAGAAAGAAGCCGGCTACGGCACGGCGAAGCGTCTGGGCAAACAGACAGCCATGCTCTACTAATAATCTTCGCCCGGAGCCGAAGCACAAAGGTGCATTCCCCAACTGTGGAACCTGCCCAGCCGCCGGCGCGGTGGAATTTTAGCGGGAATTATGTTATGAAAACTCAAAACCCAGCACAGGTGCCGTCATCGAGTTCCCGTTTCAGTTCAGCCCTATGGCGAAATACAGTCCATTGACGTCAATATGGAATTCCGAAGGGCCGGCTTCGCTCTTGGACGGCTCATTTATGGTCACTTGGCTCTTGGGGTTTTCGCATGGCAACGCGTCACTAAAGAGGAATGCAGATCACCTTGGAGGGAGCTCGAGTTTTTAAGTAATGGGACATACCTGTGCCTGTCAATTGACAGCGCTCCCCCGCAACTTTCTTCTGCTGCCACCCTACCAAACCTCACAATCAGGTCACCTTTAGTAATTGAGTCCTTGTTCGCCCTACGTTAGTGCAAACAAAGAAAACCTCCGATTGCGTCCAGCAATATCCAATATGCCACAGGTTCAGAAGTACCCTGGCCCCGACGCACCTATTGTGCGAATGATTGTCTTGGAAACAGACACGCCGCATCCGGACACCCATGCAACCAAGGGCAGCTTCGGCGACATCTTGCATAGTCATTTCCAGAATGCCGGAGCCGACCACGACCCTCCACTCGGCGTCGACACCGATCAGAGATTCGTGGTGGAAGAAAAGGGGGGCAAAGTCCCTGCATTTGAGGAGTTTGAGGACTATCAGGGAGTCTTGATCACCGGAAGCATGTATGATGCACACGGAGATAACCCCTGGATTTTAAAGTTGCTCGACGTCCTGAAAGGTGTGTATCTCGCAAAGCCAGGGGTCTCAATGAACAACCACTGATTTTCACCTGCAGAACTATGGCAACGACGACCTGGACTGCATCTGAGCGGTGTCTGCTTTGGCCACCAGCTGCTCAATCGCATGCTTGGTGCCGAGGTTGCTCCAGCGCCGTCTCGCGACTGGGAGCTCGGCCACTCAAGGATCGACCTTTCACCTGTCGGAAAGCTTCTGTTCCGTACTGACGACGACAACGTGTACCTCCATCAAATGCACCAGGATCAAGTCGTAGCGCCGCCATCTCCAGAGTCTTCCAAAGGATTGCTGAAGCCCGGCACAAAGGTGGATATTTGGGGGCATAGCAGCCACACCAAGGTGCAAGGTATCTACATTCAAGGGCGACTATTTACAACACAAGCACACTTGGCTTTCGATGAAGACATGGTCAAGAGGCAGATCCAGATGAGAGTCGAGAGCGGTGGTATCCAGGACTTGGAGCATGCAGACCGAGCTGCGGAAACGGCTCATCTGGAACATGATGGAGACTTGGTTGCTGCTGCGATTTTGAGATTCTTCCATGGTGATGATGATAGCATTGAATAAATTTGGAATTATGACTATGAATACTACTTCAAGTTTACCAACCGCTATTTCCCATGAGACCGCCTGTTTTCATGTGCCCGAGAGACTCTGTTTTTTGTGGTAATAGTCGTCGTTGCTATTATCGTCGTTATCGCTACTTTAATAGTCATCTTTATTGCCCTCGTCGTCGTCGTCATCGTCATCATCGTGACTACTATTAACGTATACTTCCGTGTTTAATAGGAGTAATTAGCTAGACAAGGGATACAGCCGCACATACATTGAATGCTGTGCTATATGATGAAAGGGAACGAAGAGACGGCGCACGCCCCAGTAAAAGCAGTCGTCTCTACACCAACTAGTATGCGAATCCAGAACCCTCTGTCTACCAAGCGAATGCCCAGGTCCCACGTTTTGTGCCCTTGCACTTCAGTCTCTGTTAGGCGAAGCCTGAGTTCTCGACGACGATCCGTCATGTGAATGTATTTGTCTACGCAGTGCCTCTCAGGAGCCACTACGGTCCGCAGTTTGTTAGTTATGGCACCCGAGTCGTTTTGCAGTTCCGAAGGCTGTAGCCTGACCGCATCGAACTTGAGATCTCTCTCCTTGAAGACCCAGAATGTGACTAAGACGATGTCACCCTCAGATCTCCCTTTCAGTAACAACGTCCACCGCCGGTGTCTCTGCAGTTGAAGAAAGAGCGCCGAGTTGAGTGCCCGTCCCTCGCGGTACTCGTGTTGGTAGCTGTAGCATCTCAATGGACCCCCCTCTTCCTCGGCCGTGAAGATGCCAGCGAGGTAGTATCCTATCGGAGTCGTGTTTCGCCGAGGATTGAGACTTGTAGCACCAACATGCAGTGTTTCTATGTCGCTGAGCCCTGGAGGTCGAGCTCCCCATGGGTTGTCATAATATCCGATTCTAAGGTCTGATGATGTGCGGATACCGCAGATCGCCATGCGTCGGCCACCTGGGATCGTTATATCCGCAAGTTCTGATGGCCGTGCTCGGGCGTATCTGTTGCCATCCTGCAGGTCCAAGTAGATTCCCACCACGCGTTGCGGGTCGCCGCCTATACTGCAGTTTAAGGGAAGAATTATTGACGACGGGTTGGATCGGAAAAGCAATATGTCCAGAATGCTTCGCCGCCCAAGGGCTTTCGTCTTGGACGTGAAGTGAATCCCTCGTTTCGACACGCCCACCGGGCTTCGCGGCCATATTTGGACAATGTTATCGTTGTGTGGATTGGGCCAATCTCTGAAGTTGGAAAACTCATCCGGGGACTGCGCCAAAAGGCCACGAAGAGGTTCATCGGGTCCAGAGGGTGACGTTGCGCGCCACGCAAAGAGCGTGTGATCGTCAGACTGTTGCAAAATCTGCTCTTGCAACCGCGCGAATGCATCCGCTCCTTCTCCGTATAGCAGAGGCATATTCACGTCGAAAATACCAAGAAGTGAATAGGCGATGTCCTCGACTCGGGTTGTTTTTCTTCCTGCGGCCCAACTCATCCGTCGACCGACGCTCGCTCTTTGGGGCGACCCCCCTCTAAGAACGAACTCATCAATTCCAGTGATTCTCTCTAGATCACTGACTATGGAGCTCTTTTCGGCCAGCTTTTTCCACTGGGCGTTGTAAAACTCAACTTGTCTCGGCGCGATGAGCTCTTGCAGCGTCCATCCCCTATTGAACCATCGGCTGCTTGCAAATTGACCCAAAGATACCCCATTGCGACTTAGATTATCATCCTCAACATCCTCTAAGTGAGCATAACACACTGCAGAGTCTTGATACCACCGATACATAGAGTTGATAGCTTCGCCTAGTTCGGCGCTGCTGGTCTTGTCGATACAGCATGAATCCATCCACGCATATTCAAGACCATCGCGATTGGCCTGGCGGCATGTAGCCTCAATTTTGTGGAAAGCCTGCTTTGACTGGAGTTTGACACCCCCGGATTGAAGATCCTGGAGGGTGATCTCGTTTGCGCCCCATGTGTGCGACAATATCGCGTAATTGGGAATGCGCCCGATGAACTCCTTGAGTTGCATCGTGGGCGTGTGAATGAGACGCATCATGTTGTGGCTCGGGTGCGCAGCGAGTTGCGTTGTTGTCTGCAGTAAAGAGTTTGGTTCAAGCGCATGGTGAGTTCACCCATAGCAGAGACATTGGGCGTCCTGTAAGATGTCGTCAAAGAAGTTCTTGCAATTGTTGCTTTCGGTAACGGATGATCAGCTCGACAAGGGCTGGTCAGCTCATCATCAGAATAGGACTAGGGTCAGGCAGGCCTATGCGAGCCAATCAATGAGCCCAATTGACGCCAAATCGCCAAATTGGTTACTTCATCCTGGGTTGTAGCCGTTATCCTTGTGTTGCGCAACGAAATGCTGCTTTTTCCCAATCGCTCGGAGCTTTTCAAGACCACTGGTGTACTTCAATCAGTGTCTCTAAGGTAAGCCTACCTTAGAGAAATGGGTGTCTTCTGTTCTTTCAAAGGCTGGGCCGAATTCCAAACACAACCCGGCCTGGGCCGTGGGACCCTGATAGCCAGTGATAGCTGCCTAACACGTGTTGACCAAGTTGATGCGTGATGGTGTTAGGCCGATATGACATGATGTGCATCAAAAGTGGAGATCTTAGCCTCTCTCTGGGAGTCCTTGAGTCGTACTCAATTTTTCACCGTCTCAACCTCATGCCCCAGGGATTGCTATCAGCGTCCGCAATCCGAAACACCGTAAATTTCGTACCCAATGACATAGCTCGTGTCAACCATGATCCTCCCGATCTTGGATCTTCCCACCGAGATAATTCAATTGATCTTGCATCATGCCTGTCTCTCACGTGGCCTGCAGCGAGGGCTGCGCCTGAAGCTTGTATGCAGTACGTTACCTCTCACACATCGCCTTTAATAAACACTGCAAGACAGGTACTGTTGGCGCTCAACCTAATTTTCTGACCTGTATCAGAGCTCTTCAAAGATCTCATCGGCGCCTCCATCATAGAGGGGCTTCTGTTGGCTCAAAAAGAGTATGGGTTCTTGTATTGGAGGCAGCTTCCAGAATCGCTAAAGGGTAGACCTCCCTTGCTATGCCATTGGCGGGTGCAGAAGAACTACGGGACAGAGAACCTATGGCACGCATATTGCGTCCAGAGAACCCGAGTTGAGACAGACCCGGGGGACCCTTTTACGCGCTTGAGACAACTGGCGGAGGACTGGTGCAAGGAGACTGGAGCCGATATCGAAACTACTATCTCAGAACTTTGCTGGTTGACTTTATCCGAGTTCCATGGCGGGATCGCCTTCCCGTCAATGGGCAACACAACTGAGGCATCTCAAGGATTACTTGTTCTTGCAGTCCATTTCAACAACCAATCTCTTGTCAAGACCCTTTTACAAAACCACAAGTGGCCATTTAAGTATCCCTTCGGCAAGACTGATCTACTGCCTTCTCCATGGCAAGTTGCCGTTGAAGCTGGAAATCTTGAGGTCGTTAAGCTATTACTTGAAGCTATGACCGATGAAACAGTACTCCCTCCTCATATGTAAGTAGCGAAGACGCCTTTTCCACGGGGTCGGCTGCATTTACGTCTATTCCTCTCTTTGCTAATCAAAAATACCTGATACCCAGACGAGATCGAGCCGAGTCACCTTTAACACGGGCATTTACAGAACGTTGTGCTGTTCATGCTGCAGCACATGGCGGAAACATCGACGTTGCCCAGGAGGTCTTGACCCAATTACGTGACTGCACCTTCATCGTCGCGCCAATGGAAACGTTGATTCCTGTGCAATACACCTCAGAAGATCACAAGTACAAATTTGCGACACAGAACTGGGAGGTCCACAAGTATGTGTGCGACTGGGTTGACGCCGCTGTTTCCGACTACCGCTTTGTGGTTCTTCATTGCTGGCTGGGAAACGTGGAAATGGTGCGCAATCTTTTGGATGCAGGAGCCGACGTCGACGGGTATGTCTGGGACAAGCAAGTTCCTCTAGCAGTGGCGGCGCGAGCTTGCCATGTAGAGGTGGTCGAACTTCTCCTTGAACGGGGCGCGAACCCCAGCAGTAGCGAGTACATGCTGGGCTACCCGCTGATGGCAGCTGCAGCTGGCGGGAGCTTGGCCATTGTGAGAATGCTGCTGGATCACGGGGCAATTGCCGACCTCAGGGAGTGTTCGACCTTGAAGTATGCTGTGATGAACGAACATACAGCCATGGTCAAGTTGTTGTTTGAGAGATTCGCTCCGGTGGAGCCTGAGACAATAACCATGGCTTTTCAATCTGCGAGAGAGAATGGTTTAGAGAGTATGGTAGACCTTTTGAGGGATCTAGAACCGAGACTCGTTTGACAGCAAAGAGGTTCAACATCCATGTTTGATGGGTAGATGGTGTCTCATCTTCGCAGGAAAAGAGACATCACATCATCTGGGTCGATATAGAGCTTTCGGGACTGATCCGTACAATCTTGAACCCATTTTCAGAGCGTTGGCTACACTCAAGGACCCATCCGGCCTACACATGACAAGGACATCTCGGGATAGCCCCGCTTTGCACCAGTAGGCAAGCTTCTGACCATTGATATGGAGGGCATTGTTGGTATCTCTTACCTTATAGGGCTTGCCAACCTTGTCGCACAAGGGGGTATGGAAGTCGGAATGTCATCAGATAACCCGGTAAAATGAAGGACAATCGGATGATACGCTGCTTTCTTCGTGTCAACCGCTTGCAGCGTTCTTTGGAACGCTCGAGTTCCCAGCTCAATTGCCCAAATGATGAAGTAGCCTGGCGGTATCCCCGTCCTTTGTCTAGGGCTGCTGGCCTCGAAGCCCTCTTCAGTGGCAGCGAAGCCTGCCGAAGCAGGGTTGCTCGGATATTATGTACTGCGGTCATCAGATACGTCGTCGCCCCTTGTACCAACAGTCCTCGGTTGGGACTAGAGGACAAAATTAGGTGTGGTCATTGCCAATCATAAGGCCCACCGAGATCGGTTAAGTTCCCTGGGAAAATTGCAACGGCGACATCTTAAACCAGGGCTCTCCGCCCTGTAGGATTCCGCGGACAAGTCTTTTAGACGGGGCTTCAATCAGGGATTCCAGTAGATATCCTGGCCCAAGCCCAAACACGAAATCCATCCGCTTTTCCGGCTCGAGTCCCCGGGAGACAACTTGGCAAAGGCATTGGGGAACTGGCCTCGCTTGTGTTCTGGGCCTGACCCACGATGATTTCGGTCCACGCGATAATGAGACTCGACTCCGACTTTGCCACACTGGCGCAGCGATCGCTCCGGACGTTCTTGGCTGTGCCGTCTCTGCTAATAGTGCTAGATGCGAGTGGGCCAATGAGACGGCTAACCCGCCGGGATTCTTTTCCGGAAATGTCAAACAATGCAGTAATGCGAAGTGAAAGCTAGGATGTGCAGCAATTAGCCGGCATCGGATATGAATCAAGGAGACCGTGGTGCAACAAAAGCCGCAGAGAACATGGAGGAAAGAGGCACGCGTACGGCATTGTCGCCTAAACAACCGGGGTGTGGCTCATCCTTGACAAACCTTCCTCTCGTCCAAAAACAGCCAAGATTTCATCATAGCTCCCAGTCTTGAGGGCTGACGTGTAAGAGAAATTTCATCGGATTCGCGAGGAACTACTTTCCGGGACCATCCTTCTGGTTCTGAGAATACATGATCGTCGTGACAGTTGTCTTCTTGATGCCCTGCCTCTCAGGACCGTCCCGCAGTCCAGTCTTATACAAGCTCTCGTCGCTGTCGTCCGCTCCACCACCCGCCATAACGGTGGTCGATCCAACTGGCCGTGAGGCATATGTTCCCATCTCGTAGCCATCCCCTGTTCTATCCTTGCGTGGCCTCGGGGCCCTGTTTCCCTCGCCTGTACCCACAGGCCATTGAGAATTTGAGAGTGTTTGCCAGTTGCTGTTCCCACTCCGCAGCGTACCTCGACCGTAGTAAGTGTTGCCTGTCGGTGCCTTGGACCCTTTCCCGTAGATGCTTCCCAAGAAATCTTTGAACAAAGGGCGGAGTGTGGGTAAGCTGCCGGCGATGACTCCGACATTTGCTTCGATAACCGTCCACATCTGGATATTTCGTGAGTCCCATAGGGGATCGAATGTTTTTCCGTACGCCGTGACCACATAGTAGACCTTTACACAGGCTGCTGCGCATGCAAACACACCGAGGCCTAGGATAATCATGAGAGATATTCGGACACGCGTGGGAACATTGAGAGTCCATAGCATTGGGGCGGGGATCGCGATGCCGAATAGAAGGTCGGTGAGAATATTGACGGAGGAGTTGGCATATGCAAGGCTTTTGATCGTTTCGATGTCCCAGCACGTCGAGTCCACGTTAAAGTCCCAAAAGATTCGGACATCGGTGCATTGAAATACGATTGTCTGCATGTAAGGAAATGTAATTTAGCAGGATGATTCATGGTGATCAGGAATTTGGGTCATAGATTGGGTCTTACAAAAATGCAGGCAATGGTGTACGCGGTCATGAAAACCATGATGCCAATGATCATGCTCTTGTAGAGCTTCTTCGATGCAATGCGGAGCAAGGAAGATCCTACAGCGAGCTTGACAAGACACAGAGCCGATAGAAAGAGCGGCTGCGAGACGAAGGACATCTTCATTGCGATGGGGTAGTCAACTACAAGGTCAACATCTCCGGTATGACGGCCAACTCCATGCCGAACCTGGGTGATAAGAACGCCTTCGCCGGCGATGGCAATAGCCATCGCAAGTGTCATGAAGCCGTCCTGGATTTGGGTACAATGTCAGTGATACTGAGCTGGTAATTAAGAGCAGGAAGAGGCGCAAACAGACATCTAGACCAAAGCTGTGAATCATACCAAGACGCACGTACAAGCGTGCCCCCACCGTAAGAAGGGCCACACATGTTACCGTCAGCGTCGCTGCTAGGACCGTAGGGCCCTCATTGTCAGCAGGATTGGAAACAAATTCCATCTTGCACAGTTTGTCGAAGAAAGCATCACATGAGAGAAGAAGAGATGTTTTCGCCGCAGAAGTCTAAAGAGTCGACGAAAGGTAAAAACACTGAATAGTCTTTCAACCAATCCCCCAATTTCGCCATCACAATTAGCCTACAGCGAGCCACATAGAGACGCCGTTGCTCAATCCTGGATCGAGAGTCAATTGGCCAGCATCACATGAAAAGCGCTTCATCCTCATGAAACTTCTCATCAGGCCATTACGTACAGCAACGTCCAAGTCCTTGACCACCTGTTTTTAGGCGATAATCATCTCGTTGACGAACCGAGAAGATGGAGCGCCTGGACTGGGCTGGATGCACCGTACCTGCCATGTCCACCGGTGCCACCATCGCAAGCCGGTTGGTGGCATTTCCCTTGGCAAAATGTGTCAAAATTTGGGATAGACGCAGGGGCTCTGCAGATTCCATGATGGCATGATATTCTCTTGGTTTCTGGTTGGTCGTTGAATCAAGGTATGACTAGATCCTGGGGTTCTTTTATGCTTCGTGTCCCGCGTTAAACATAGCCGAGCATCGGACACACCTCCCCAACGGGCAAGAGGTCATGACAAGGGAATCTATTTACCGGGTCGCCAAAGGGTCCGGACCGTGTGCCGGTCGAGTAATCCCGGCATAGGTCTGCATGACGAATTGACCACGCCGCCGCCCCTTCCGCAGCCCTGGTCTCGGAGGAGAAAGCCAAGCATCGCCAACGGTTCCCGCCTCCAACTTCCCCTGCACGGGTGGGTACGTTTTCTGCGTTTTTAGTGCTGACCTGTTGACAAGATTGGCTGTGGGATGGATCTTTCGTAAAAGCCCTGCAGATATGGAGTTCTCGTTGTTGGTTGGTGGCAATGCTCAAGACTCGTCTTTTACCCGACATGGTCCACCGAAATTTCGCAAGGATCTCCAACGCTTTGAGGAAGTGTCCGGCATGATTGATACGCCCGACTACAGTATTCGATAAGTGCGTTGGCGATGGATCGACATAGAATTTCCCCCGGAGTGATAGAGGTGTCAGTCTGTGGGAAGTCCATATATCTGGCACCAAGCTAGTCACCCCTTCTGCAGAGAGCTTTCTCCTGCACTCAGCCAGGTTGTCTCCATCTGGGTCGTCCCGGTTTCTCATTGGCTCAGGCTTCCTGTTACTTCGTAAACATGCACGTCCTATCCCTCGGCATCTTTGCCTTACAGACGGCTTCTGTTGTTCTGGCCAACCCGTTGCCCCAAACGGACGCAGGAGCCATTGCCGCCGCTGAAGGCGTCGAGGAACTGGCTGCTCTCGCTCAGTCTGCCTATGCGAAGTCTGAAGAGCTTCTCAACAGCGGAGAGCTACAGAAGCGAGGCAGCACTTGTACGCCCGGCAACATCAAGATCCGCAAGGAGTGGTATGTATTCACGCCATAATAGCTAGTCGGGTTGAGCTAATCTGTTTATAGGGGCGCCTTAAGCAAGCAAGAGCGACTTGACTACCTCAAGGCTGTCAAGTGTTTCACATCCAAGCCTGCAAGAACTCCTTCTGAGATTGTCCCCGGGGCTAAGACGCGATTCGATGACTTCGTCGCCACGCACATCAATCAGACCTTCTCAATTCATCTGACTGGAACCTTCCTATCGTGGCACAGGCAGTTTACATGGCTGTATGAGGAGGCTCTGAGAGAGGAGTGCGGCTACACTGGCACTCAACCGGTAAGAGGAATTTCAGAGTCTGAAGACGCGTACTAACCTTGATGACAGTACTGGGACTGGACCAAGTCTGCAATTACGGGACTCAACACTTCTCCGGTCTTCGACGGAAGTGATACGTCAATCTCCGGCGACGGAGAGTTTATCGAAGGCAAAGGTGATTTGATTCTTACCGATGGCGATGGCAATGAGGTTGTTCGCCTCCCTTCCGGAACAGGTGGTGGTTGCGTAAAGTCCGGACCGTTCAAGGACTTGTCGGTCAACCTCGGCCCCGTCGCCCTGGCGCTTCCAGGCGGAGGCAGCGAGTCAAACCCAGATGGATTTTTTGCCTACAACCCAAGGTGTCTCAAGCGCGACCTTACCACTGAGATCAACCGTCGCTTCTGCAATGCGTCGGCTGTGATCCACAATATCGTCGTCCCCAAAGACATCTCGACCTTCCAGTACGAGATGCAGGGCTTCACTGAGACATCAGTCACTATGTTGGGTATCCATGGAGGCGGACATTACAGTTTTGGCGGTACGTGAATTATATACTTCAATCTTCGTTGCTCCCAGCTAATCGATGTTCAGGCGATCCGGCGCGCGACTTCTTCACCAGTCCGGGAGACCCAGTCTTCTACCTTCACCATGCCATGATTGACCGTGTTTGGTGGATGTGGCAGATGCTCTCCCCACACGACCGCCAGTTTACCGAGAACGCGATTTCCGGCACCAACACGTTCTTGAACACGCCTCCCAGCGCCAACACTACTTTTGAGGACATTCTGGACTATGGCTACGCATCCGACTCTCGCATCACTGTTGGAGATGCGCTTAGCACACTCTCTGGACCTTACTGTTATGTCTACCTGTGAACACTCTGTATGAGTTGGGTCTGAACGAAGGCCAGTTGCAAAATATAGAGTCGCTAGCTAATACCATCTAATATTGAGCCATTTGTTTCCGAGTCGTGACGGCGAGACGAGGTCGCCAAGTAGGGCTGCCCCGGCCCCACACGGAGCCGTTGACTATCAACGCCGATAGTCAAGTGGCTTCCTTGCCGGTGGTAGTAGGAGCACAGCAAGGCTTGATCGATCTGATTTATATGAAATTCGCAGCTTCACATACTCAACAAGCTACAATTAGATATGATGAGCCTCAGTGTGTAGTTAGGAAGATCGCATTCCATCGGTTAGCGACAGGGAATGCATTCATGCGGCGGTTGTCGTGGCTGTGCCACATATTTTCCATGACAGTGGCTGACTCGCTGTGAATGGCTGCTGTGGATGAAAACTATGGAACCTTGGTTGACGAGATCAGCGCTGAAATGCGGTCTTAGGCGAAGTGCCATCTTCACGTCACTCTCCACATACACCGCAGAAGCTATTGTCCGCAGCCATGGACCCGGCATCGGCATTTGGCCTTGCTGCAAGTATCGTTCAGACGATCACATTCGCCAGCGATCTCATTTCCAAGAGTCGACAACTTCACCACTCAGCCCAGCGCGGCCTTGTCGAGGATGAGGAGCTGGCGTCCATCGCCAGAACTCTTCAATCCCACAGTCGCCGCATTACCATTCAGCTGGTCGGCGCACCAATGGGGAAAGATGATGTTGGCAAGGATCTATCTACTCTCTGCAACGGAGTACGCGATCTTTGCAAGAATCTCCTTGATACAATTGAAGCACTTCAGAAACCCGACTCCGCCACGCGATGGGATAGCTTCACGCAAGCTCTGCGAAGCGTATGGAAGGAGCAAGACATCGCCGACTTAGCACAGAGACTGGAGAGATATCGTCGCCAGATTGACTCAATCTTGCTTGCGAGCATGAAAGAGCAGCTCGAGACTTTGACAAAAGACACCCGCGACCGCAACCAACAGATCGAGCAGAATCTCAACAAGATCCTGGCAATCGTGGAGCCGAAGAGCAGGTGGCAGGCCGAGCTGGCCCAGACGGCCCGAAGGAGCTTGGACTCAGGACCATCGGAAGGCCTTGCCTATCTTGATCTTGTCTCAGCCTCCCTATCCGCCGGCGCCAAGGAAGAGCGAGACAAGCTCATGCAACGTCGTACGCTTGAGTCTCTCAAATTTGCGGATATCCGAGACCGTTATGAGCGCATCCCTGTCGCCCACCGAAAGACGTTTGAGTGGATATTTAGCGAGCCATCGACATCGCCCGCAGAGGGAAGAAATCCTCCGTGGGACAATTTTCATGGCTGGCTGACATCGGATGAGGTCTTATACTGGGTGACTGGCAAGCCAGGCTCAGGCAAGTCGACTTTGATGAAGTTCCTGTCTGATGACGCCCGCCTCCGACCTCAGCTGGGAGGCTGGCAGAAGGACATCCCCGTTCACATTGCCAGCTTCTTCTTTTGGAACTCGGGAACAATGATGCAGATGTCTCGAGAAGGACTTCTACGGTCTCTGCTTCATCAGACTATTCGAAACTTTCCGCAAGACATTCCCAAGCTTTTCCCAGAGAGATGGGAATACCAGGAGCTGTTCGGTTACGACTCCCGCTCTTGGTCGTGGTCCGAGCTCTCTCAAGCATTCACGGAGATGCTGTCTGACAAGATCAAGGCCTTCTTTTTCATTGTAGACGGACTAGATGAGCTAGACGGAGACTGCAGTGAGATGACAAGCTACTTGTTGCGCGCGTTCTCCCAGGGACCGCACATCAAAGCGTGTGTGTCCAGCCGGCCGTGGCTGGTTTTTGAGAATAGCTTCCGGCGGAAGCCATCCCTTAAAATGGAAGATTTCACAAAGAAGGACATCACATTGTTCGCAACAGAGAAGCTTACAGAGAATACTACGTTCGCCCAACTGCAAAGGTTGGATGACAAAGGCGCTCGGGCCTTGATTGACGAAGTCTCGAGGAAAGCCTCTGGTGTCTTCTTGTGGGTTACATTGGTGGTAAAGTCTCTTTTGGAAGGACTACGAGATGGCGATAAAATCCAGGACCTGCGATCGCGACTAGACGACCTTCCGCCCGATCTACAGTCGCTATTCAGAAAGCTCTTGGAAGATCTCGAGCCTTCATATTTTCAGCAGTCATCAAGAATCTTTCAATCAGTTCGGGCATCCCATCTGCCAAGGGCGTCGATAGCTGTGGGAGAGTACAAGTCAATCGAGGTCAAAGGGGACAGTCACGAGGCGTGGTCGTCTCTGAGACTGCTCTCCCTTTCTTTTATCGACGAAGACCCCGAGGAGGCGCTGGGGAATGACAGTCAGGGAACAATGGGCCGCCATGAGCAGGGATATCGAGCCGAAGTAATGCGGCGACAGCTACAAAGCCGCTGCAAGGGGCTTCTCGAGGTACCCACCTTCAGCACCATAGGGCCCGAGTCAAAGGTCGAGTATCTGCACCGCACAGTTAAAGACTTCCTTGAAGAGGGAGGCGGGGGCGACTTCCTGACAACAGAGGATTCCTTTGACCCGCACGTGGTTCTCTGCGCAGCTCTCATCCGGCACGCCAGGGCTATTCGCCCGACTGAAGACGACATGACAGGGATGGAATCTCTCGCAGACATTTTACGCGAGTTCACCACCCAGTGTCATTGGCTAGAGAGACAAAACCGAGACGTTTACGTTCCGTATCTAGAAGAAATGAACAAGATAGCTGAGGCTATCTTGGGCGGCCCTGGCGGCGATAAACCTCCGCCGGACTCTTCCCAGACAGATTGGGTTTTCTCTTTTCCCCATTGGACGAGACGCGTAGATCCCTACGTTGGGCGTAAAGCCGCTCGAGTCTGGTGTCTCTTTGACTATGCCGTGGTTCGGTCTCTGACTCAATATGTTAGGCGACAGCTGTCTACAGGCTACAGTCTTAAGGACAATCCGAATCACAAGTTCTTGACGGAGTATGTGTTAGAACATGGAACTCGGGCTATGGCTGAGCTGCTGGACTTGGGCATCATTACATCCAAGGAGATCAAGGGCAAATCGAGCGGCAACGAAAAAGGCGTAGAGATAGAGAAAGCTGAAGGCTTGACACGCGAAATGGGATCGGAAAAGACGGTAGCGCGCAATCCTTCTACAAAGAGGGAAAAGGATTGGTCCACATCTCGATTCAGGCATAGCATTCACCAGATTTCTCAGAGATTCAGCCTTCGGAGGAAGAAGTAAGGCTTTGAATTCAGCGGCAACATCGTATCAGTTGAGGATGTGGAAGTGAAATCTGACAGAAATTACAGCGGCCTCAGCTCAAAGCCACTGATGGGGTCCCAACAATTCGGGCCCTCTCCGGATACCTACCTGTATGTTCTTGGAAAACTACGCCCTGAATTCAATTGATACCTTGAGTGAACTATGACAGGTACATCAAAGTCCAAGTATGCAGCGGGACTGAATAGAATGTAGGGGAAGAGCTCATCCTTGTCTAGTCCAATTCCACGTTCCATCCCTCCTTCATTCCCTAAAAAGCATCTCTTTGTCCGGCACTCGGCTGGATTTCGATCTTTAATAAAGCTTGGATCGTGTTCTTATCGTAGCAAATTGTGACACCTCATGCGTGTGGGGAGCCACGTGTATTAAGGTTGAGATAGCCTAGAACACGCTTGACTGCTTCAAGAAATCTTTGTCAAGTATGCTGAATACAAACTCAATTCCCATGATACGGATCGTTCCTCTATCACCCATGTCAAACCGCCCCGAGCACAGTTCTAATACTTCCGCCCATGTATGACACGCCGCTCTCTCACGAACTGTGTCTCGATGAGGGTGCCGGGACAAACAGCCGTTCGTCCCAGGTACCTAGACCATGCCAATGCCTTTCGCCCGGGTAGGCAGACAGCAGACGACCAGTGTCACCTCGGAGTGAATGGCCCCTCGAGATGACATCGCTCTAACATGATTGGCTGGGGAACAAGCCCTTGAGTAACAATGCCCTTCCGAAATTCTGGGCAAGACAGCCGTTAGGGTGACTGTCGCAAAAGGGATGGGTTCCGTCACCAATGGCTAGGGATCGTGAGCCTGCCATCGCATTCTTGGTCACCACTTCCTCCACCCTGTCGTTCCTTTGCAGTAATGTGGGCTTGTCTTGCCTCCCCTGGACAAAAAAACGGCGTTTGCTGGTTCGCGGGCATGGCCGACTTTGACTCAGATCTCGTGTCTCAACCTTGCGTGAGGTCTCATTACCCTTGGAAAATTTAGCTATCCCTAGCTCGTCTTACGATCTAGGCGCCACCGCATTGTTTCCCACTTGTGAAATTTTTATCCCTGCTTGGCTCCTTGGCTCGGGCCGAGGGTTGTATCCGAAGTTATTCGAATGATGGCTTCACTTGCCCGACCTGTAAGTAGGATTTCGTATTAAGGGTTGATATCCCTGAGCATCAGGCTAATGCTCAGCTAGTCAATACTCGGTTTTCTCGCAGAATTTTATCCTTCTCGCCGTCGTCACAATGACCTCTAGCTTCGGTCTTCGTGTCCCAAGACCACTGCTCTGGGTGCGATTTCTGCTGCCGCTTCTCCTCAGCCCGAATTTGACACTGGCACAAACCAGCAGTCAGCAGGCTTACGCCCTACCCGGAGCGATTGCAAGAGGGTGTACCAACATATATGTATTCAGCACAACGACAGAGCTTGTCCTGACAGATGAGGCTTTGACGCCGGCTGCTTGCCAGCAGGCTTGTTACGTGGACGCGACCCCGAACCGCTTGTACGCCATTCTGGTCGCCGATGATTGCTACTGCGATACCCAAAATTCCCTAAATGGCTTCCCGACAGATGAATCGAACTGCTATATTGATTGCTCGGGAGGTCCAGCGGGAGCGTTCTGCGGTGGATATCCGGAAGACCCAACAGTCGTCATAGCCAACGTGTACTACCGCGGCGACTATCCTCTTATTTCAACAACTTCATCCACAGACACGACCTCTTCTACATCCTCATCAACTCTTGAGGTCAGCACAGATGACGCATCCTCCACTGTCACAATATCAAGTTCAATTGACGAGCCGAGTTCAATGTCCGAGACGGCAACCAACACTGAACTGAGCCCCGATACAACATCTAGCTCTGACACAGTAACCAGCACGGAACTAAGCCCCGATACAACATCTGGCTCCGATACAGTAACCAGCACGGAACTGAGCCCCGATACAACATCTGGCTCCGATACGGTGACCAGCACGGAACTGAGCTCCGATACAACATCTAGCTCCGACACAGTAACTAGCACGGCATTCAGCTCTGATACGACATCTAGCTCCAGCACACCGTCAAGCTCAACAGATGAGTCCTCCACTTCTCTGGAGGCCAGCTCTAGCTCGAGTACCGACTTGACCGAAAGTTCGAGTGCTGCTGCGAGCTCTGATATCTCAAGTTCCGACCTCATATCCAGCACATCTGTCACTCCTAGCAGCAGCAATACAGCTGATGAACTTTCGTCCACATCAAGCCCTGTAGAGACTGGTGCTTCCAGTACGAGCATCACTGTATCGTCAACAGACGATGTCACCAGTTCCAGCAGTGCTGTAACTGAGAGTGCCACCAGCTCTTCTGATGGCGGTATTGAGAGCAGCAGCGATATCATTTCAGCCTCACCAACCAGCGTGTTGTCGACTGATACATCCACAACGCCTGTCCCGGAGTCAGAGACAACAAGCAGCCCCACTACCAACAGTGAAGCTGGCAGCACACAGTCTAGCAACGATGATATCTTATCATCGTCCTCGGATCCTCCTTTTTCAACTTCCACGGCAATTACTGGCAGCTCCACTGAGCCCCTGGTTTCAACAGCACAGTCTGAAGACACGGATTCCGCAACTACCACGACATCTGCTGGGGCAGCAATAACTTCCAGCCCTTCCTCCGGTACCACTCCGGAATCAACATCCGATACAGATGCGTCTAGCACTAGCAGTGGTGCAACGGATCTCACACCTAGTCTCGCGCCCTCGACCACGGCTAGCACTCAGGATCCCAGCCCGTCTCTCTCTCAGCGATTCCCAACCCTTGACCCAAGCAGCACTCGAAGCACATTTTCCCCGCCGTTCCCCTTTACAAACTCGTCGATCGGGTTGCCATCAACCACACAAGATGAACCAAGTCAAACACCGGAAACGTTGGATCTGGACATCGAGGTCACGCCAAGCCCCGAAACCTCGCAAACTGACGCAGGCTCGCCCAGCATCCAAACCCCGCCAGCCGTTTCCGACAGTCAAATCACACCAGGGGTTTCAAATACCCAAGGCACACCCGTTGCGTCAAATAGCCAATCCACTCCAGTCGTGCCAGATAGCCAAATCACACCAGCCGTGTCGAGTACCCAAACTTCAGCAGGTGTCCCAGACATTCAGAGCACGCCTGGCTCGTCAAGTATTGGTAGTATCTCGGCCTCAGGAAACACAGGCACCGCGTCTGCGTCAAGCTTACCGGAAAGCGATGCCCTTGGGGCGTCCTTCATTAGTCCTACAACCCCGAGCTCAATTTCTTCCATATCTGCAGGCGCATCATCACCCTCCGCTCCAAACAGCGGCCTGGCAACCAGTTCGTCCACATCGTCCGAGCCTGCTTCAAGCTCGCTGAACACTGATGAGCTTGGGGCGTCATTCATCAGTCCGACAGGCCCCGACCAAACCCTTTCAATCTCTGCAGGCGCATCATCTGTCCAAAACAGTGGCCCTGCAGAAAGCTCGTCGACATCGTTGACGCCTGCCTCGAGTTTACTTGCTAGCGATGCGCTCGGGGCGTCATTCATAAGTCCGGCAGCCCCGAGCTCGACTCCTTCCATATCCACAGGCGCACTATCACCCTCTGTCCAAAACAGTGGCTCAGCATCAGGTTCGTCGACGTTGTTGGCACCTACCTCAGTCCCTTCAACCTTGAGTACAGTGCCAATCTTGCCCTCAACATCTAGCGTTGAATCTGCATCTTTGAATGACAACTTGGCAACGGCAACATCAACCACGTCATCAGCAGCGAACACGACACTTCCTACTGCGGACGGCGGCGACGGCATCGGTGATGATATCGAAGACCCGGAGCTTGATATCTACCTCAATTATCCGTTCTATTTCACAATCATCCCCTTAGAAGCGCCTGCTGCGACTGAATTGCCTCGAAAAGGCTAGTTGAAGGGCAAAGCTTGTTCTTAGTGTGCCTATGTAATTACGAATCGAATCAAATGACCCGTTCTTCAAATGTCCCTTTCTATTCCCCATGATGACCAGTACCCATTGAACGCCTGAAAATACCCATTGTCTTCTCTTTGTCCAAAGTGACCATAAAGAACGTTCCTGGCAATCACTGAGGGTGCTTTGTAGTGAACTCAGCAAGCTTGTCGCGCAGGTTCTGGTTCTCTACCTGCAACTTGTTGATGGCCTCCATGAAAGCAGCGCACTGCAACTTCATTTTATCCAGTTCATTGCGCAGAACATCCTGCTGCTCCTCCGAGGCAGCCAGCTGCGCATGGTGCATCTCTTGCAGTTCTTGGGTTGCCTTTCGCAAGGAGGCGTCTGCGACCGTTGCGGTCTCCACATCATTGATAGCGTCCTCACCCTGCCTTATGTTAGAGACTACAACATAACAAGTGCCAGAAGACTCACCTGATGGAGGAAGGCAACCACCATAGGATCAGGAACATCGTTCCAAGATTTGAAGCCTGCGTAATAGGCATCTCGGTCCTCCTTCTCCTTTTGCGCCTTTGCCGCCTTGAGGTCCACAGTTGGCACGGCAAACTCGAGGCCAGGGAAGACATATGGCGTATCTCCCTTCACCATGGTGTAGATCTGTCAGGCATGATGTCAGCTCAAGTGGAACAACAGACGAAGCTCATACTCACATTAGCAATCACAACTCCAGGCTCCTTGATGTCGGCCATGTTGAAGGTGCTAGGGTGCATGAGAAAGAAAGATGAAGGTTGGTATAATGGTTGTTGTGAATCTGGGTTTGTTGTTGTTGTTGGATTGAGGAAGGTTTGCTGATCAGCTTGGTTTGGAGGAAACGTGCAGTTGAGAGGACGAAAAGCGCGCCTTTTAAGCTTTCAAGGTTGTTTCTCTGCAGGTCCAGGTGAGGGAGGAACTGTTCAACAAAGATCGGGGTCCTTTCTTTCCTGTTGTTAGTCATTTGTTTTCAACACATACAATTGCTTTGTTTTTTTCTTTGGCTCTCTGTGTGTCGATGTTTTTAGAACAATCCTGGCAGGAACAATCAACTTGAGATTCGGTTAGTGCCTTCCCTATCGTGAGATTTACATAATTGCGATCTGGCTGGGTTGGATACCTTATGTTGGTTTCTTCGATAGATGGCCCTTCATGGCCATCTCGCGAGCTGCTCCTGCCCTCTCAGGAGTTCCGTTCCTTCCTCTGCCTACTTATTCAGAAAATTCTGATCTCTTACCGAACAGTAGATTACGTCATATCCACCTCGGCTCAACCGTATTTTACTTTTCTTCTCAGATTTATTTCTCAGGTACACCCGACTTTCTTGGCTAGGCTCCTGCCTCACTCACCACTACCCGCCAACGCATCGCCACGTCGCCCGACTCTTTATTTCTCATCCTTTTTCTTCATAAAAGGCTTCTTCCTACCTTCGAACGCTCGATAATCTCATTTATTTCACGTTTCAGCGTTCAAGTGAGGAGGTTTGTAAAAGCTGCTCCTTCTAATTCCAGTTGTCTCCTCTTTCCCAAACCCTGTCTCCATCAACTCCTGTGGTTCACCTGCCACAACAATCCAGAGGTGTGCGCTTCTTATTTCTGGACGGTCACTTCATTTCATTTTCCCCTGATTTTGGTTTGATCTTGTGGGTTGTGCGTCTCTGGGTCGCTACTCAGGATCTTGCCCTGGCCGACAAGTAGCCTCCCTCTCACTCTCGACAACCCCTTCCCTTCCCACCGACCTATCCAAACACCATTCCCACAACTCCTTGCCAATTTGCTCTCTTCGCCCTTTTTCTTGCTCTCACCTCTTTTCCATCTTCTTCGACTGCCATCTTCTGCCTGGAGCCTTTCAATTTTCACACCGACCATCCTCCTCCTCAGCCAGTTTCCATCCTATCGCCGCCATCGCCTGAGCTTGTCCGACGCCCTTCATCTTTTCGCCGCTCGCGAACCTTTAGTCGCAAGTTTTATTTTGATGTCGAATTTTCTGGATTGCCTTGGTAAGTCCCAGTTCAACCTCACTATCACGATTTATCATTGACACAAGCTCCTTCAGGTCCCTCCCTCGTCCCCGGTCCGACGCGACTGTCGCTGCCGACATCGCCTTTTCACGCGAAACTACCTACCATGACCGCTTCAAATTCCGACGGTAAGCACCACAATCATTTCATTGTGTCCCAGCACTCGTCCTTCCGTGTTTCCCCCACCTGCCCATCTTGCCTGCTGGACCCTAAGGACCTTGAGATTGTCGAGAGCTCGGATATGGAAGTGCAGATTGACGCGAGCCGATTGCCATGGGTCATTTGGACAGACCGCCACCCGTTTTGGGAGGGGCAACCACTCTCTCGCTGCAGCCGAGGACTGCTTTTGGACATGAGCGGCATTTTGGTCTCAAACTCCTCTGGGCGTCTTTCCCTCCCACTGTCGGCGCGAAGCGATCAAATCGCATAACCCGAACAGCCACACACGAAGACATTCAGGGGCGGTCCAGTGGGTTCATGCAATGACGTCGAGCCCTGCGAAGGCCGCGGGGGGAATCGGGCTCGCCGGGCATCCTTCACTCTCGTTTCCGGCTCTGCTCGTGTCCGATGCGTCGCGTGCGGGTAACCGATAACACTCGCGGCGTCATCAGCAGCCTGCAGTGTAAAGCCAATTCTGCCGTGAGGCAGCCGCCCAGAGAAAGACTCGGCATTCTTCCTAGCAAGTTGGGTGTCGGGCAGTCCTACCTCGCCAGTAGGATGTTCCTGCGGTGCGCGACGGTCTGCAGCCTCTTTGTTGAGCCGCATAGCGAAGATGCAGGCTCTGAAATGGGGAACACAACAGGGGGTGACGAGTGTAGCTTACCAGTAGGGTCTTGACTCCTTTGCTGACTGGGTGAAGAAACAGGTTCATTTCTCGCGACGAGGGCCGCTGTTGACATGGCTGGCCCTCGACTGCTGTTCAAAGTATCGAGGCGCAGAATGAGAGACGCAAGAAGGGCTCATTGGTACACTACGAACGGGGGCATGGAAATTTTGCTGTGGGTGGATGGTTCGGGGAAGGCTTTGCAACATGAGATCTCTACTGGTTGCGGTATCATGGGTAACTACTCGGAATGTTGAAGACATCTTCTCTTCGTCGAGATGGCCACAAAGCCATACTGAAAGTGTGATTTCGTGGGGTTCTATGTTGGATTACGACTCCTTGATTGAGGACATCGACCCCTTCCATCGTCGCCCTCCACTAAACATGTGCTCTGCCATTCCCAAGCTGATGCCATCCCCGTGAAATTTGCGTCGCTTCATACGCTACAATTAATGCAAATTCCCTCCGCAGACTGCCCCTTCCTCGATCAACACGTCCTAGGTGTAGGCTCAGAGTGAGATCTCTGGTTCGGTGCTGAGTTTGCAAGTGTGTCGGGAGAAAGGCTGCATCGTTGTCGCGACTCGATGTACAAAGAGGTCGTCTCGTCTCGAGCATCTGACTGCTGGATTGTGCCAGCTTTGACTGTTTGTGCCCAAGGCCTCGCCAGGAATTTGATAAGGTTTTGCTCAGATGTGTGGATATCGTGTGTGTTGGTGCCATAGCTCATCTGCTGATAGGGTTTGTGAGTGATGTGGGCACGCTTGTGAGGTCGCAGTCGAAGGCTCAAACCTTGCCGATATATGGCATGTGGGCATGGTCGAGGAAAGCTTCATTGCAGTAAGCTGCTCCCGAATCCTGAGATAACATACATGTCATAGGTGTTCGTAGCAAGAGCGTAGTCTGGGAGCAATTTCATCAATGCCCCGGAACTCGCCAGAAACGGCTAAGTTACCCGCGGGTATCGCGTAGCACCTTTGCCCAACATGGACATTGACGGCGAGGAATCCCGCGCGCCCGTGTGCACTCAGCATGAGCTGCATTTTTACTGAGCTCCGGCTTTGGACTTTGTGACCAGCGAGCTGTAGCTGATTTGGATTTGGCGAATCTTCGCGTTGGCCTCGCCATAGGTACTCACGTGGCGGCTCGTACCAGTTGACCTCCACCCCTGGAAGCCATGGGATGCTCGGTCGCAGCATAGGAATCTTCTGAGCGGCTTCAAGATGTTGCAAGATTTAATAGACACTGTACGCCAGGCGGGCATGGCCATTTCAACAGATATAGTTTCAACTAGTTTATTATGTACTTCTCTTTACCCAGAATTGACTTGCAGAGCCGACAAAAACACTTGATCCTATGGGTTGCTTCTCTATCATGACGATATTTCTGGGGTAGATTGTGAGACCTTGAACATGACGCTGGGATTTGAATCCTCAATAGCAGCTCACGTCATTGCCTCGCTGACAAATTGCTGTCCATCTCCAACCTTTACTTGCCCCCCGCGTTTCTCTCCAGTCTCTTCGTCCTGTCCCTCGCTGAACGATAAGCCGTCCATCACAGTCAACCCAATCTCGTGGTACGTTGGCGGCGAGAAAAGCCTTCGGCCCTCAGAGAACCATGCCACTGTCATGGCAATACCAAAGACACCCATTATCAAGCTCGTGTAATTCATGGTCAACGTCGTGACCGGGTGGACCTGGGGGATCTGCAGAAAATCCCGTTAGTCGAGTCGTTTAAAATGATCGCAAAGGCCTGCCAGGCTTACCAGAGCAACTATGACAACCAGAAAAGAGTACAAGGAGGAAATGACGTAGATAGGTGTTGAAAGTCGGCCAAAATTCCAGCTCTTGCTTTCTGGAAGGGTTGAGCTCTTCGTCAGCAGCATGATGAGCGCTGGGCATCCTGTTCCTCGTAAGCGTTGATTTGCACACGGTTGGTGGTCACTCATACCGAAACTAATGATCATGCACACCGCTTGCGAACCAATAATTGCGTTGAAGGCGGCGTTTGAGAATAAGTAACTATGCCATAGCATTAGCATTTGACTCTCCATAATTGCTCACGACTTACATCAAACCAATCAGAGCGACCAAGGCTGAGGGCATGTTGATGGACCAAACCGGAAGCTGGGTTCGTGGCGACAATTCTGTAAGCCTTTTAGTCAGTCGTTAGTATGTCTTTCGATTTCTTGTATCATCCAGCTGGCAAGATAACTCACTTGTGGTTCCAAAACAATCCTCCATCTCTGGCAAAAGAGTATCCTTGCCGGCTCATGGTCACGGCGCTTCCCAGGGCAGAAGCGCCCTGGTTGATGATAAGGATGATGCAAAACACAATCGCTGCAGCATCGCTTCCGGTACCGAGTCTGATAAGCTCGAGAATTGGAACACTGGGTTGCAGATTAGCCGGAGGACATGCAGTCATCACATTGAGGGCTTACCCAGTGGGGCTTGCAATGATGGTGGGTAGGTCGCCGATGGAAAAGCCCAGGACAAGCCCAAACAACTCCGACGAAGAATTGTGAGATGATGACAATCAGAAGAATCCTGAGGATGACCTTTTTGGGATTCTTGACTTCTTCGGCCAAGTGCGTGGGGCAGTCAAGACCCATCAGCGTAGAGAAACTGTTGAACAATCCCAGCAGGATAGCAAAGCCCGTGGAGGAATACCTATTCATCGTCAATCTCTAGAGCTTCTCAATAGCATGTGTCACTCTCTTGTGCCGTTGAGACTCACCCTGTGTCATTATTCGTCTGAACGAACACAGAATGCGGTGTGGCTTTGGGTGCTTTGACGAGGAGGGCGATTGTATATGCCACAAAAACGAACACTGTAGCCCAGCCTTTGTCTTTTGTCAGCACACTTGAGTTTCTTCCAATTCATAATTGCGACCTTGTCAGAGCAACATACATCCTACCAGCTCGAGTGTGGGGATTCCCCTCAGCCCGAATAGGTTGATCAACCAACATCCGAACACCATGGCGAGATATACCATGAACAGCTGCCATCTTGTAGTTACGTCGAATTCGGGCTGGCATAGGTTAACAAGTGCTAGAGTCAATGTTGCGACTATGGCGCAGCAAGCAGCATGCGTCAAGACCCAGCCACGGTAGTTGAGCCATCCGAGAGGATAGGCACATTGACGGCGGTACTTTTCGGGGATCAAGAAGGTTGCGTAGTGGTAGGCGCCCCCTTTGATGATATTAGTGTCATTTCCTTGTCGGCCGTAAGTGAATAGTAGAACTTTACCTGCGGTAGAGTACCGAGCGGCGCACTGGGCGAAGGTAAGGATGATGCATAGCACGCAGATACTGGAACCAATGCTAGTTTTCTTATTAATTTACTTCTGTGGAAACGTCGAAATTAACTTACAAGCCGTAAAGAATAGCTGGAATACCTCCCGCTGAAAGCCCAACGAAGAGGATAAAAGACATGCCACCGAAAACGTTCAGAGTCAGCCATCCTATGCTGATCCCACTCCATAACCCAAAAGTATGAGGAAGATGGTCGCCGGAGGTTTCAATTTGCGACATTTTGGCTGTTTAGAGTTGCTGCAAGGAGGTTTAACGGCTGCTTGCAATACTTCACAGGTTTCAATCACACATCTGATCATCAACAGGATTTCAAACGTCGGCGAGCATGTCTATTTGATGCTGTACAAAATTTACTCAAAAGCATCCTATCAACTCAATACTCATCTGTTGCTTCAAGACCTGTGTGGATCATTGCAGGATGCGACATGTGAAGCCAGTCGTAATAGACGTTCAAGTTAGCAACAGCGCTCCCCATAAAGCAATCAAACTTGCCAAGTTCAATCAATTAATCAATCAATTTTGAAGCCATCGCTAGTTAATTAAGTTAATTATAACCCTTAAACTTAATTAATTACCTTAACTCTTTTAATAGGGATTATAATATAGATTAAATAAATATTCTACTACTAAATATCCTTATTCTTCTTTATCTACTCTCTATTATACCTCTACTTCTAATAGACCTCCCCCTTTAATAAAATATAAATTACCTCCTTTTACTTACTTAGCTTCTTTTTTTTTTTCTTTAATATAATAATTAATATAATTATTCTAGTGAATATTAGTAATATTCTTTAAGCTTTATAGGGGTAATAGCTAAGTCCCTTAGGGAAATTAAAAGCTAGCTTTTAAGATTTTCTAGAGATTTATATTAAAATTATTATTTTACTACTATTATCCTCTATCTCTATTATCTATTAGTGTCCTTTAAATATAAAAGTATTATTAGGTCTACTTTCTTTTCTTTTTTACTCACTTTATACTAGATATTTACTATATTAGTAGTCCTCTATTTAACCCCTACCTTTCTTCTAAATGCTTTTAGTTAACTCTTAAAGTATAGATCTATTATATTATAGCTTAAGTAAGGCTAAAACTACCCCCTATTTAACTACTTTTTATTTAAAAACCTCTTTAAGGTTATAATAAATAATAAAATATATATATAAGAGTTAGATTTTTAGAGAAAGAGTATAAGAGAGAGAATAAGCTAAATAGGAAGCTATAGATAGTATTTTATCCTTTATTAACTAGATAGCTAACTAAGGGTAAATTACTAAGCTTACTATTATTATAATCTTAAAGGTAAGTATATTATTCTTAATATTAAAGCTATTTTATCTACTTCTAAGTATTTTAAGAAAAACTATCCTAGAGAGATATAAGTAGGATCTATTAACTTAGAAAGTTCTAAGTAACCTAAAGATATTTTATATAAGAGATATTACCTTAACTTCACTAGTTTAATAAAAAGCTATATAAAGAGTATCTAAAAAGCTATTATATACTTAATTATAGATACTAACCTTCTTTTTACTATCTATAAAAACTTTACTTTTTAGTATATAATCTCTAAGACTAGTATTAAGCTGTAAATATTACTATAGTTTAGTATTTTAATAGTTACTACTTTTAAAGGTATATAGAAGTAATAGAAGGTAGTTATCTAGTAGGAACTTCTATATACTAACTTTAAGATATATTTAGGTTTTAATTTATAGACTTCTCTAGGTTACTAAGCTATTATAGGTATTACTATATACTTTATTATTAAGGGAAAAGGCTCTTAAGTATATCTTATTACTATAAGGAAGTAAATTAATACTTATAATAGTATTAACTTTATAAATACTCTTAAGGAGATTATTAGAGACTAAGGTATTATAAAGTAAGTAAAGACTTTAATCTCTAATAATATAAGCTTAAATAATACTTATATAGTAAGTTTAATCCCTTAACTTAACCTTTCTATTAAAAAGAAGTAAGATATTTAAACTAAAAGGATTTATTACTTTAAGTATATCCTTAACTTTATATTAAAAGCTTTCTTATTTAGTAAGGACTTTAAGAGCTTTAAGAGATAGTTAGATATATATATTCTTCTATAGTAAGATAAGGCTAACTTTAAGTATTAGTATAAAGCTAGTTTTATTAATAAGCTTTATAATATTATAAGGTTTATTAGAACTTTACTATAATATATATAGAGGTTTAAGATTTTATTTTATAAGATATTAAAAGTTTCTAATTAGTTTAATAGCTTTCTTCTCTTTTAATAGATATTTAAAAAACTTAAATTAATCTAAGATAATACTATAAGGTAGAACTCTATATACTTTATAATTAAGTATGCTATTTAGTTTAAGAATAAAGTAAAAGGCTTTTATTCTTCTTAGAGTATTAAAGATCTTATATTAGCTTAAAATATCTTAACTTCTAATAATTAGCTATAGTTAATAGAGATTATAATAATTTTAAAGCTTATTTAGAAGATAATATTTTAAATATAGAGCTTTAGAAAAGATAGCTTTTATAGTAGATTTTAAGAGGTAATTATTATAATAGAATATCTTTTAAGTTACTTTAAAGGGTAGAAGACTTTTTATAATAGTATTAGTAGTAGGGATACTTAAGATTTTAAACTAGATAAGTTTTAAGCTTTTTTATAAGAAGTATCTTAAAGATCTACTTACTTAGTAAACTAATAAGTCCTATTATATACTTAAGTATTATAAGTATCTTAGAGATAGTTTAATAAGAGCTTTTTACCTACTTATACTTATTAAGAGTATATTAATAATATCTTAAACTTAAAAGAGATAGATAGTAGTAGCTAGTAGTACTTAAGGATTTTAATTAATAATAGATAGAAGAAGCTAAATAAGTATTATATTTTAATAGAGGAGTTACCTCTATATACTACTATATTACTCCTCTACTTTAGTTTTAATTTAAAGTACTTAGAAAGAAACTAGTAATCCCCTTATTAGTAGGAATAAGTATCTAGTATTAAGCTAGCTCTAAAGAGGTATTTTAACTAATAATATCCTCTTAAAGAAGGGGAAAATATAAGGAATATAAATTATTACTTAGAACCTATTAACCTAGATAACTTTAAGTAATAGGTTTAAACTAAAGCTATAATACTTAAAGAAAAAGAGGATAATAAGGAAATAGATAAATTAAAGAGGTATTTTACTTTTATAAAGTAAGCTAACTATAATCCTATTAATTAGTAGTTTATTTATAAAGAGGAATATCCTTAGCTAAGTAGGTTAGTATTAAAGATCTTAGTAATACCCTTATAATTATCTAACTATAAGAGGGTATTTAGTGCTATATCTCTTACCTAAACCTTATAGAGGCTAGTAATAAAAATAGAAACGTTAGAAATGCTTTAATATATAAGGTAATAGTATAAGAGGGGTGTAATTTTACTGTTAGGGGGTTCTAAATAGCTTCACTTAGTAATTACTTATAATTAATTATAAGCAATCAAGTATGGTATCGCGATGTGGCAATTAAGTTAAGTTTGACCCTCATAATTGACTTGATTGCTTTACGGGGAGCGCTGGTTAGCAATCTTGCTCGTTGTATTCTGCGACATGGACGTTTTCTCGTTGGGATAGCACTAATTTTACTGGAAAGGGATTAGGGCATCACAGGCGTGAACTCTGCGAAAGCTAGTCCCGATCAGGTTTCAGTTGGCTATCAGCAGGATCCATGGATGCTGCATGCTTATCTCGTTAATGTTATCTGCGTTAGGGGAAACCATGTGTGGCCGTTCAGTGCTAAAAGGCTTTGCAGCCGTTCTGATTGGCTGCGCATTATGCCAATTCCTGGGGCAATGCTTCTCAACGGCCAATGTCATTTGGAACATTGAAGATTACGAAGTCCCCTTATTATCTGTTGGCCAGATGATTACACCCCGGATGAGTTCAAGCAACCTAGTTTGTGACAGGATCGCGGGGTTGATAAGCATCCCTGTATCCGTTCTCAGCGGGTATCGGTAGCCCTAGCGTGCCATCATGGGGCTGAAGCTGCGTCAAGTGTACCCGTATTGGATATTGTCTTATCCGGCTCTGGGAAACGGCTTCTGTGCCGTTCTGGATGCCAACTTCAAACATACATTCAGCATTCCTCTACACAAAGCTACAGAATCAAGCCGAGCCGCCGTAAGCCCAGATCCCACTCAATCGCCCCCTTACCAGCCATGAACACCAGAAGATCCAGTAGCGGTTCGCCTTACCTATCAGTCGCTCCTTATCCAACCCTACTAACCTTCAACAAAGGCTGCTGGACCTGCCGAAAGAGGCATCAAAAGTGCGATGAAGGGAAACCGGGGTGTTTCAACTGTCATTTGAGAGGCGTAGAATGCGGTGGGTATGGGGTCAAACTAGGAGACTTCACCTCGCGCGGCGGGCCTCATGGACATATGCAGATGGTGTCAAAGATAGTGAGAGGAGCACCAAACGAATCCCGTCCAAGGCAAGGCCGCAGTCGCAAACAGCCCAACGAGTCGCAACAGGCGGCAAGTGGGCCAAAGCCGCAGAATGCCACTCAACCGCAGAAGAACATCCCGGCTATCGAGCCCAGTATCAAAGCCCCTGCTGTGGTTTGTGCTTCCCCGCCATCAGCCGGCGTTGGCGACTCACCCATAACCCTATCCAACGCTGATGACCAAGAAACACTGCGCAAGGAGCAATCAGAAGAACAGAATCACTTGGGGCGGTCTTCGGATGACGACGCAAGCATAGACCCATCTTCTGCTACATCTTCCAACCAGTCTACCGATCACGCAGATACCCCAACAGGGGGCAAAGATAAGTGTGTGATGGACAGGTGGTGGGAAGTATATTCTGATGCAAATTTGGCCGGGATGTCAAGTCCCGAAGATATCGAGGCAGGTTCGGCACTCTGGACCACTTTCGACGAGTCAATGTTCTCAACCATGCCGTGGGACTGTTTCCAGACAGCCGCCCTGGCACAACCCACACAAAGAACAGGCACAGATGGCGATGGTATAGCAAATGAAGTCGGAAAGCGAGCACGCGATGGCAAAATCGTGGACAGAGATCAGAGGCCTGTGCGCTCGACAAGTCCACCACTGGCCATCTTTCGGTCAAGTCGGCCTTCGGAAGTCTATCTCCTGCAACACTGTAAGATGTCCTTCAATCGCCTATTCGGTTATTTCTTTGATTCCGAAGTTGGTGCTGACGACCTTAAAGTTCTCGACAATCTTGCGTCACGACTTCTTCCGGTAGTGGAGCCCTACCGCAATCCATACAAGACCGTGTACGGGGCATTGGCGAGAGGCTCTCGACCCCTCCGTAACGCCATCCTTTTCGCATCGACCCTTCATCTAACTAAACTTGGCGATCTTCCCCACGACACGATTAAGACCTATCGAGCAGATATGAGGGACTCTTTTCGCGAGGCGCTCCAGGCAGACGAAGAGATTTGGAGCCTAGGGGCTACAGTTCTCTTGTCGATTATCTTTGACGTAAGCTATTTTTTGGGTCTCAGTATCTCGGGCACTCAACTGACAATATATCCCAGGTTATTGGAACTGGGATGGATTCATGGAGTTCCAAGTTGGTGGGATGCCGTCGACTGCTGGAACAGGGTCTGTCAAGATCAAAAGGCCAGGTCAGCTCTGAGATGAAGTGTGTGCAAACACAGTACAACTGGATGTCGACGATGGGGCGGACACTCCTCCTAGGAACCCAGCAACTCCAAATGATGGATGATCTCGCGCCCCTTGAGATACTCCCAAGTAAGAGTATGATTGCCCCTGCTCCATGGTCTCTTCTAACATGTCTTCTATAGTCCAAGAACCTCGGCTCAACACTATTCACGATCTCATGGTCCAGCAACACCACTGGTGGGCAAATATGCCAGATTATAGCATGCATATTCTGCTTCGTGAAGTCGCCGATCTCTCCATCGCTGTCCATAACATTAAGTCTCAGCCCGACAGCACTGAACAGCTTCTGCAAATGATGCCCGAGGTAGCGGATGTGGTGAGAAAGATCGAAGGTTGGCAGCCAGGTGTTGCATCGGTGACTCCAGGGTACATGGATGATACTCAACATTTTAACAGCATCTGGAAGCAAGGCATGCTGTGTTATGTATATCATGAGATCTATGGTCTGAGCTCCAGTAGTTCCTGGATTCAAGCATGCGTGGAAGTATCTCTGGTGGCGTTTGAGAAGCTGTCCTGGCTTCAAGCATGTCTTTGGCCGGCTTTCATGATTGCTATTCATGCGCAGACGGAAACTGCGAGATCCACTTGTGAAAATGCGTTCAAGAAGATGCACTCTACGTTGGGGTTCACTGCACCACTTTCAATAGTGTTAGTGCTTCAAAGTCTCTGGGGAACCTTCGACAGCGATGGCTCCGGCACGGCCAAGTGGAGGACTGTCATGGAAAATCTGGGGATGGAATTGAATATTTTACTTTAGCAATCCAATGCTACTTTCATCGGCAGTTTCTGAATACCCGATCGCAGTTGGACAAGATAATTAGACCTTAAAGTACATTTGGATTAAGGTTCTTTAAGACCAGAACATGTGGGATAGTGAAAGTCTCAGAACGTCAAATTTGAATTACTCAATCTATCTCAGTTCCAGCCCGACATCCCGTATTACCTCAAGCCGCGACGGTAGTCGCCAGAGGCCTGCCCTCAAAGGTGCCATACTGAAATGGGTCTTCCTTGCTGCCGAGAAGTTCAATGGGATCCTTCATATCGACATGGCCACAAAACGGCTCGCTGATTGAGTATCCCAGAAGAGCCTGAACCTGGGGCTCGTACGTCTTGATGACATCGTGCTGGATGCCAACATACTGGTTCTCATCCGCGCGATACGATCCGCGGGTCATGTGACACGAGTAGATATTTCTTCTCTCGTTCTCGAGCTGATTGGCACCAGCACCGTGCCAGACACTGCCGATGATGAAGACAGCATCACCCTTGTCCATCTCCGCGGTGGAGCAGAGCGAGCGATCGGCAGGACCCCTCTGATCAGCCTCGGGCCACTTGTGGGAACCAACGATGATCTGAGTCGCCCCGTTCTCGTAGATGCAGCGCTTCAAGATGGTTAGTGGCGTTCCCAGTGTCAGAGGGGACCTCGGGCACTTCACTTACGGTGCCAGCAACCAAGAGACCTAGCAGACTGCTTTCGCCACTGCCCTCAATGTGGTCAAAGTGTTGGGCCATGTCGTCACGGTGGAGGGGCTGAGCGGCAGATTTGCCGCGAGAGAAGGCCTCCGAAACTGCTAGAACAGGGTTCGAGACGCATTCGTATCTCTTGCCGTCACGGAATGGGCGCCTGCATGGGTCAACATCAACTTACACGCAAAGTATCGAAGGCGTGATGGGAAGACTTACGAAACCTCTCGTAGCAGTTCCTTTGCGGTGTCGCGGTAGGTGGGGTGATTGATGCATTTGTGGGAGAAGGTCCTGGACTTGCCCGCAAAATTGCTACGGAAGCAAACTCAGTAACTGGATCAAAAGTGGTCTGTTCAAAGATTTGATACTGCCATACCTGAGAGGAGGGTCCGAGGGGGGGAAGAGGTGACCCTCGTACTTGAGCGTCCTTAGCTTCTCGAACCAGGGAGCAGACTCTGCATCCATCTGATCAATATCCTCTGGGGTCACGAAACCCTTGATGATGATGCCGCCATCTCGCCGAATGACATTCGCAATCTCCTCAATCGGAGCAGTCGCCGGGAGGGAGGTGATCTCCGGGTTCTTGGCCTGGTGAGGAGGGTTGGGCATGTTGACAATGAGACTGATGTATGTCTTAGTAAGGTAGCAATTGATGGGTTGTATTGTGCGGCGGTTAGCAAGCTGATGATGTGGAGTTCTCACAGGTCATTTCATACAGAATAAGCCTCATTATTTATCGTTCTCTTAATCGCACAGATTCACGAATAACGGCAATCTTCGATTTGCACGGCTAGTCTGTCCGAAGTGCGGGATGTCCCTGGTACCTGGGGACGCCACCGGCCTGTTGCGTGTTACGCGGTTGCGCTTCCCAAAGCGGCAATGCTAGGCTAGGAACCGGGTCTTGGTTACGATAACACCGGCCCAGACCACCTCCCCTGGCTCTTGAGCACCCGCACTCATCTGCAAGACTAGGTGCTTCACGAAAAACGAAAGATTGATCGGAAATATTGTAAGGCCTCGCAAGTCAGACCCATGCTTGGTATTGATAAGGCGATGTGAATCAACAGACCTAAGCGATAGCTCCGCGTTGTGCCCAGGAAACACTGGACAATTGCTAGACTGGCACCAAGTTGCGAAGTATTGAAGATAACAACTCTCCGTCTGGGTCCGCCAAACAGCCTCCGGTCCTATAAAATGATTCATATCACAGCACCCAAATGTCCAAAACATCCGCTTGAAACTACAGCATACCTTGACCTAAGTTCAAGCTTGCATTCTCGTCGCAACGACTACCGCGTCTCACTAAGCTCTTCCAAACTCAACCCCTCTTGACAATATGGCTTCCATTAAACGGTTCTCCCCTAGCGCCTACGCAGGCGACGTCCTGGAGGCCATCAAGGGCGATGGAGCTGTTATCATCGAAGGCGCAGCCAGTGTCCAGACTGTCGACAAAGCCTTGTCCGAACTTGGCACCATCTCTAACAGCCGGGTCTATGGTCTCGCCGGCAAGATTTCAACTTTCACCACCGAGATGCTGATGAATCCTTTGTACATTGAACTCACCAAACGCCTCCTCACTGATACTTGTGTGATCTACTACGAAAAGGAGAGAACCGTCTCCACCGCCGAGCCGCAGGTCTCGATGACTACAGCTCTGGCTGCGCAACCCGGCCTTCCGGGGTGGGGTCTCCGCCGTCAAGATGAGTGCCACCACACCAAACATCCCGCAAAGCGCGAGACGGACTTTGGCATCGCGTACGCCGCTACGGATATTACGAAGGACAATGGAGCTATCAGAGTGGTTCTGGGGTCCAACAGATGGAACGACATTCGCGACCCTACGGACGACGATGAGACGCTCGTGGAGCTTCGCAAGGGTGATGCTCTTCTCTGGTGAGTCCACATACCCGTTGGTTGAGACTTCATAAGATCATATGCTTACTGACAATCTTCGACAGCCTGGGGTCCGTTTATTACGGTGTGGCCTCAAACAATACCTCGGCCCCGAGTGTTCTTCTTAGCGCCTTCTCCACTCCGGGCTGGTGCCGCCAGGAGGAGAATCAGTACTTGGCCATTCCACTTAAAGTTCTTGAGACGTTTCCAGAAAGCATCCAGAGATTCCTCGGTTGGTACGTCAGCAGGCCCTACGGAGGAGCGGTTGAGCACATGGAACCCTTGGACTTCCTCAAGGCGAAGGGAGACTGGTCGAAGTACGTCCCTGTGGACCTAGTTTAGTCGCCTCTTAATCAACATATGATTTCTTAACACGAAGAATTATTATCTCGATGACTCTCTTTCTTATTCGTGATGTTTCCGTCATGTCCCAGAATTCCCATTGCAGGGATGCCTGGTGATCATTATTGGTAGACTCAAGTTATATCACAGATGCCGTGCTCCAATGATCCTCTTGACGACTGTATGAAGAGTAGGAAAGGAAATATACATGAGCAAACGGACATCTTGCGCGTCGCGGAGTTTTACTGTTGGATGTTTTGACTATCACAACGAATTCCACAATGAGGATGCTAATTACGCGTTGATGATTGTTTCGTCCGCGAGAAGTAGACAGGCACCGATCGACTGCGACGATAACTGGGCAGAATTACAGCAAGTTCTGTCATCCTACCACCCTGGGACGCAGCATGCTCGTATTGGGCACCGCCGGTGTGGCTGCATGTATTGTTGGGATATCTGCCCCGCTTCCCCGCCTCATAGTCAACATCCAGTTCGTTGGTGTATCGGCAACTTTAACCCATTTGGGACGTCCTTTCAGTATATCCAATAAAACGTTGTGGTCCAAATGCAGCATTCCTGTGCCATAGGCTTCCACTACCTCATACAGATAGACAAGCCTCGTCTTAGGTCATTTTTGAATTATTCGAATTGGTCATTAGACTGACCATAATCAAAACTTCTGGTCCTTAATTCCTAGGTTGGAGTAAGGAATGAAGTAAAAAGCCCAGCAACAGTCCAAGACGGCGAAGGGAGCACCGCACCTGCGTATTTCGCCTTCATACCTCGTTGCTCCTTAGAAACACTACACTAAATGAGTCCAGGCATCTGTCAAGCTATGCAATCAACAACAATCCTACCACGCGTCTCTCAGGAACAGGATACGAAAGATGCATCTCGCGACGTCGAGGCCTCCGTTATCGACCGCGTGGCCACGGCCACATCACAGGTTCCTCCCGTAGAGAGAGCCACTTTTGAGATCGATACGGCACCGCAACCTAGCAAATCTTCACAAATTGTCATCACATGTCTGGTGATACTCTGCAACTTGACACAAGTGAGGCTGCCCTCCGCCGTGCTTGACAATCGCTGACGATTGTCCAGTTTATCTCCATGTTCTCTACCGTTGCAGGTGGATTACAATTCAGCGCTGAGCTCGGTCGAGAGTTTGGACCTGGGCAGGCTAACTGGATGGGGGCGGCATACTCGTTCGTCTTGCCTCCTAAACGCCCGAATAATATGCATTGAGCTGACAGACTTGTGTTTAGACTGACCCAAAGCGCTTTCGTCCTAATAAGTGGCCGACTTGGGGCCATTTATGGTCACCAGAACATGCTATTTCTCGGTGGTGGAATCATCGTCGTTTTTTCCCTAGGAAACGCCTTTTGCAAGACTTACGAGTCATTTGTGGCTATGAGGGCCATGACCGGAATCGGCGGAGGTATCATCATGCCGAACGCGGTCGCAGTCCTCACGATCATGATTCCGCCGGGACAGAGCCGAAACGTCACGCTTGCCGCTTTTGCAGCTTCACCACCATGCGGCGCACTCGTTGGAGCTCTGTTAGCAGGTGTGTTTCTAGAGTACACCGAATGGAAATGGTTTTTCATAGTGATGTAAGTTCTCTGACCCATGGGTGGACAGGATCAATCTGACAAAGAACAGCGCTATCTTGGGAACCGTTATGTTTGGATCCCTGTTTCTTGTGCTTCCACATGACGAGCCTGTGGATAAGGGGGGCAGTATCGACTATCTAGGTATCGTATTCGGTCTTGGTGGCCTGCTGCTATTCAACTTCGCTTGGAAGTAAGTTTGATAACTAAGCTCTCTCAAAAGCGCCTTCTAACAACTACTCAGCCAGTTACCATCCATTGGGTGGGATTCTCCGTCCGTCATCTCCACCCTCATCGTGTCCCTTCTCCTATTTACAGCTTTCATGGTTTGGGAAAGCAAGTTTGCCAAGGATCCCATCATGCCCCTGACAGTCTTCGCCGCCCCGACATTTACGGCCCTCATCTTCGTGGCATTGCTCACTTACATGTCCGTTGGCATCAGCCTGTG